TCGTGCACAGACCAAATTGCAACACTACGGATCATCGTCGAACAATCAGTTGAGTGGAACTCATCATTATACAACAACTTCATTGATTATGAAAAGGCATTCGACAGTGTAGATAGGAGGACGTTATGGAAACTTCTTCGACACTACGGAGTTCCTGAGAAGATTGTCAATATTATCCGGAACTCATACGACGGACTACAGTGCAAAGTAGTGCATGGAGGACAGCTGACAAATGCATTCCAAGTAAGGACCGGAGTCAGACAAGGCTGTTTACTCTCTCCCTTCCTCTTTCTTCTGGTGGTCGACTGGATTATGAAGACCTCAACATCTGAAGGAAAACACGGAATACAATGGACAGCTCAGAATCAATTAGACGATTTGGACTTCGCAGATGACCTAGCCCTCCTATCACGTACACACGAACAGATGCAGATGGAGACAGCCAGTGTAGCAGCGGTCTCTGCATCAGTAGGCCTCAGCATACACAAAGGGAAAACTAAGGTCCTCAAATTCAAAGCGGAGAACAGCAATCCAATCACACTTGATGGCGAAACTCTGGAAGATGTAGAGTCCTTCACATACCTGGGAAGCATCATCGATGAACAAGGAGGATCCGATGCAGACGTAAAGGCGAGGATCGGCAAAGCAAGGGTCGCATTCCTACAATTGAAGAACATATGGAACTCAAAACAACTTTCAACCAATATCAAAGTGAGAATCTTCAATACGAACGTCAAGGCAGTTCTACTGTATGGAGCTGAAACTTGGAGAACTACAACAACCACAATCAAGAAGGTACAAGTATTTATAAATAGCTGTCTTCGCAAGATACTCAACATCCATTGGCCGGATACCATCAGCAACAGCTTTCTGTGGGAGAGAACAAACCAACTTCCAGCTGAAGAAGAAATTAGGAAAAGACGATGGAAATGGATAGGACATACATTACGCAAATCGTCAAACTGCATCACGAGGCAAGCCCTAACTTGGAATCCTGAAGGGAAGCGAAAAAGAGGAAGGCCAAAGAACACATTGCGTCGGATAATAGAAGCAGTTATGAAAAGGATGAATTACAACTGGACGGAGCTAGAAAGGATTGCCCAGGACAGGGTTGGATGGAGAATGCTGGTGAGCGGCCTATGCTCCTTCACGAGGAGTAACAGGCGTAAGTAAGTAAGTAAGTAAGTCAAACAACCAAACATATTCCGAAACAGTATTATCCAAGTATTCATTCACTTCCTTATTTTGTATAAGCGTTATATTCCCTATTATCTTATATTGAATGTTGAGAGCCTTTGTTTGTCTGAACAGATAATCCCACGCTCCACTGTGACTGCGCGAACATTGAAATAAAGACCTATTCACTACTTCTCTGGTTTCTTCTATCAATAGCACGAGGGTTACCTTAAGGCATGAAAGTGGTGAGCCCATGCAGTCTACAGTATGTGTCAGGCACATTTCTGTGAAGGTGATTACATCCGGCTAGGTAGGTCTATCTGAACACCTAGTTCAGCAAGCTCAAGGCATCGATGTGGCAGATCTGAAGACCACTTAAATGGCTTTGGTATCATGCTATATCGAAGGCTCACCACACAAAAATGCACAATTTTCAGGTCCTTTTCGTCATTATCTAACGGAAGTTTTGGTTCTTCTTCAGCTTCTCGTCTCTTTATACGCTCCGTGAGCAGCAAGTCTTTGCGGACGAAATTTCCAAACCCTTTTAGATTGTGTCTATTATATAGTATTAGGTCCCTCTCATTAGGAGAATTAAATACTACATTGAGCAGCCTGGTTCGATCTTGTTTAAAGCTCATTTGGCTACCTGCTCTTTAACTTTGTGGCAAGGTGACTTCGGCTATATCTTGAGGCATTAGCTGGTTTGGTAGCGGTTTTATCAATTGGATTTCATGTTCAAAACGAGTTTTTGGTTCTGATTTTTCACTCTACTTGGCTTCATGAAAGACAACTGACCTGTTATTATTATCAGTCTCTGATTTATCAGCAAATTTGGATGAACTGGCTTCTCTTTGGTAAGACCAGGTAGCTTCACATTCTTGATATGTGCGTATTCATCAACTGTTGTTGGGGTAGCAAGCGCAGTTCCTTTTCACAGTGAGGGATTTTAGATGGTTTTCAATTACTTGGGTGGTCAAGACGTTGTTTCCTCTGCTAGAAGCACTCGCAACCTTGTGGTTAGGCTTGCTAGGTGTTTTCTGCCAACTGCCGTTTGGAGGGCGGGACACAGAAAAAACTTCCTCTCCTGAGTTTTGTTTCCAACAGACCTCTTCATAGGCCGTCCTTCCTCTTTTCACCCATGGGCTAGATTCACATCAATTTATACACCGACCGAGCGGATAATGTCTGATGTGTCTCAAATATACCTGCTCATACTCCTTTTAGCACCATCCACTAATGCAATGACTTCGGATAGCAAACGGTTTGCGACCGAGCAGCTGACACAACCACATGCAACTACTTTTGCTAAGTAGTTCGTAGTAGCAAAAATTGTACTCACCTCACTGTACGCCAATTTCCACAGGGCAACGACAACCTGGGCATTGTCAATTTCTTTTTTCGCATTGTCCATTCATCAGTCAGAAGTTTTCAAAAGGAAACAAAACAAAAACACTACCCGGAGACGAAAGAAACTGATGACTGGGAAAAAGTGCGAAATTGCAGATTGTTCGACCTAGAAAAGTGCAAACAAATACAAAAGAACCAGTAAACTCAAAAGTTCCGATGATAAGTTACTTTTAAGAAAAACGACACTCTTGGCGAATATTTTAATTTAACTAAATTCAATTAAGGTGAAAACAGCCGTTTTGATCCGTAAGTTTCAATCAAAACAATAGAATTAACTAGAGCGCGTTGGAACCTTTTAAACAATTTTAAAGAAACGAGATTTACCTAAAAGTTACTGTGTTTAGCTTTTCCGGTCTATCACCAATTGATTCATTATAGCACAAGGTAGCTTCAGGAATGCAGCGCAACAAGGGTGGACATATGGCATTCAAAAGCCAACATATAATGTAATTCCATTAGAAAAATTAATAACCATATCAAACACAACCCTATGAAATGTCTTATCTAACCAGTAAATAGATAGGAAGATGCATGACATGACTGGTCGTTTACATATGACATGCTGTATATCCCCTCTCCAAACACTCATACTTCACGATGCACAGGTCCACAAATATTGACCAAACTCACTAGATTCAATACAGATAGGTGGATGAAGCACCCTATTTCAATGCTACTGAACACCTGTAATTGTACTACAACAACAAGAAGTGAGTACAAAACAGTCATTTAGTTTATATTAGCTTGACATAAGTACAAAGGATATTGTTTATTGAATGTTTTAAGGACTGTATGATGATTCAAAAAGTACGGTGTTTTCGCGCTCTCATTTGTTTTGTGGTTTCTAATTTCTTCCTCTGTATTGTTATTGCGTAACACTTCATCCATCACTCTCACAAGACACTTAAAAAAAGATTTGTGATTTTGGTTGACTGTGGTCACATATATGAAACATATATGTTTCTGATTCATATTGTACACATACGGTGGTCGAATTCGACTAGCTCTCATTTCCGATTTTCAGGTCGTATTGATCCTACCTCGATTTAGTCTCTAATCGCTGTTGGTCGCTATCGTTTTTAGATCTAAGTGGAATCTATGTATTTACTGAGTCGGCTCAGTTTTTAGTTTGTTCCTTTCTCTTCCAGATTTTATCACACTTTCCCTTAACACAAAGCGTAACTTCAGACTAGACGTTAAACATGACATGTTTTAGGTTTTCAGGTAATTTACATCAATCCCCTCGGACCCGAGCACCCAATTTCGGGGAAGATTTGACCCATTTTGGGGAAGCCGCTATAGTGAACTTTGGGGAATTAGCACAAAAACCCCAGAATTCCCCTTTAATCTTGATCAATGTCATTTGACTTTGGGGATTTCCCCAGAATCCCCCAAACTTGGGGGAGTTACTTCTAAAGCAATACTATTATATAGCTATAACTATCTGATCGGGTTGGGTATTACATATGTTTGCATTGTCGTAGCCTTGGCTTCTCACTAGATGCTAGCATATAGCCGTGCAAGTATACTGTTTGTGATTCTGCGCTATTGTCTGTTGGACAAGCATATAACCCAAGTAACAACCAAATACGAAATCAGATGGGAAAATACCTTTATTTGTTTCAAATATTGCTCACATTTTTATCTGAATATGATAGCATTTCTGAAAAGACAGTCTACCTTACCATCATATCCAGACTTTATTCTAGTCTTTTTCCAATAAGCTGTACACGTATAATATATACTATAACAGGCACGTTTGAACTTGAAACGTTTGTACGTGTGATAATGGGTAAGCATATCAAGTAACAATTTGTGGACTTGGTAATTATCTGCAAAGAATAACGTGTTTTGCGGTCGTATATGGATATTCATAAGTGTGGTATGTTTACACATGTGTTAATTCGAACACTCAATCAGTAAACAATACCACGGATTCCGATACTACTTAACCTGTATCAGGTGACTAACTCATGTAGTCTCAATAAACATGCTCAAATCCAGAAAAACGCATAAACTTGGTATCTGGATTTCATAGGCTAAATCCACGTTCTACCCACTGAAAACTTCGATTCTTGTTGGTAGGTCTGTTGATGATGCAGAGAATTATCTGTTAGTTCAATGCTAGCAGAAAAAAACTTTCGAGATCGCAAAAAAGATTCTGTGAGTGTGGTATTCGTTTGAAGTGAAAGTTATTACTCGTCTGCTGTTTGACAATACATGCCATAGTTATTTTGTTGAATGAATCACTTGTGTTTTCTGTTTTAGATTTTGCAGAAAATCCGTTTGTTTGAAAATGGTGGCTTTATAGAATTTCAAATTATACCAAGGTGGATTTTTGAAGCTCAGTTTTAAATTCCGTGTGGTGATCCGTAATTTGCGTCTGATCTTCATCAGATCATTTATGTGATTCATACATGAAGGAAGATAAGTTATTTTGCATCTGTGGACTAATCGTCGGGATCGTATTGCTATTTTATGTATTGTCGCCTTATAGTCCGACATGTTTACTAAGAAGCTGTATCCATAATCAGAATGACCGTACAGGTTTTCTGTATGCTGTTCCAACTACAAAAACAACTAAGCATTTGATGACATATACGAGAGATAATTCAAGTAATGTGTCTGTGCTCGTCTTCATCCATATTCAGAAAACTGCCGGTACACTTCTAGAACGTCGTTTAGTTAAAGATGGTTTAGTGGGCAAAACATGTTACTGTTTTTTCAGAAGACGCTGTAATTGTAAAACGCCAAGTGGTGATACTTGGCTTGTCAGCAGATATTCTACAGGCTGGGTATGTGGACTTCATGCTGACTTAACTGAATTAACGGAATGTATTGACAGCAAACTAAACAAAGTGGACCATCATATTATTAAAAGAAGGTAAGAGTTGTGCCAATTTTACTCTTATTTATTTATTTATTATTACTACTACTCAATGTTCAGTATTTCTTGCTATGTTTTATAATAACTTGAAAAATATAGCCTCTAAAGTATTTTAAGTGGGTCTAGCTTATGTCCTTTAGTGTAAATTACATACTCTAACGATTTATTAGATAAATCATTAATCTTATCATCACGTTTGTACGTTCTACTCATTATCCATCAATTCTAAAATTGTTCACATTATGCTCTAGCCGGAAAGTTCGAATTTTTTCGTAATTAACTGATTATTTGCAGCAATATTAAAAATCGAAATGACGTAGGGGCTATGGAATACATAAAAGTTTAGGCTAGGTATTACTTACTGAACAATTGATTTATGCGCAATCATTGGGACATGAAAAAAAACAGCCGCTTCAAATGAGTCTTAAAGAGTCGGAAGATGTGACAGATATCACGGTAGCACTAACCAGGGCTTAAGAAACTGTTTGGGATGTAAGATTATAGACCGAATATATGTGTATTGGGAAAAGAACGCTGACTAAATCATCTTAATTCGCAATTGGGCATCTTATTCAACTATGTTCGCCCGATGTAGGAATGTTTACTTAAGTCTCAAATGAATTGCATTTCAACGTGGGAAATAATTAAAAGCCTGGAGAGTCAGTGTCACAAGTTATTGTCATCGAATCATATACGACACTCGTAATTCGTTCTCTTCATTATGTTGATGAACTGTCAATTTATCTAGCCAGATATCAAAGACATCTCATAGACTGTATTTTTATAAATAGTCGATTTTTATTAGGCTTAAAACTCGCTCAGGAGAAAACCGAATCGCATGATCTGTGTATAATGAAACCATTATGGATGCTAGAAAATTCATAGATTAAGTAGTGCAAGCTGATAATTATCGTACTTGACCTAACCACTCTGTTATGAATTGACCTGTGAGAAAAGGACGAGTATGTGATGTTTGATTGGAGGCTATGTAGAATCCCAGCTACATCAGTTTGGAAGTAACATATACTACATTATAACAACCATTTTTTTTAAATAACAGGCGTATTTTCTGTTTTTACTGTCTATTTCCTAAAGTTCTATTAACTGAAAATTGCATTCACTAGAATTGTTTATCTCTGTTTTCAGGTACATATATTTTACTTTGTTACGTGATCCTGTCGATCGTTTTATTAGTGAATGGCAACATATACGTCGCGGTGCTACATGGCATACAGCTACTCTTCGATGTAATAAACAATACCCACCACTTGAACACTATAAACCATGTTATTTTAATGAAGAAATTGTCGAAAATATCCCGTCTAATGTATCCATTAAATCTGTTATAGATTGTCCTTACAATTTAGCAAGTAATCGTCAAACAAGAATGTTAGCAAACCTTTCTAGTCTAGGATGTTATAAACATTTAACGAAATGGTCTCAACCTCTCAATGTTACAGTATTAACCCATATTCCACGAGTTTCATTAGCTCTTTTAAACAGTGCTAAACATAATCTTGTCAGTATTATCAGTTGTTATGGTTTAAGTGAATACTTAATTTATTCACAATACATATTACAAAAATGCTTACATATTACTTTTAAACGTTCATTTATTGAATTTAATAAAATATCTTTTATGAAACAAAGATTATTGTTTACACATGCTACAATAATCCGTTCCAGTTTAAATCAGTCTACTTTGCGTGAAATACAAGATGTAAATAGGCTAGATATTTTTCTATACAATTTTGCCAAACAATTATTTGTGTATCGATTAGTAAATTATTTATTATTTGATTCAAATATACCGCTGCATTTCAGACGACCTTTACACACTATTTGGCACAATAGACCTAGGTCTAAATCATATATAGGTCTAAGTTATTTACTGTTTTCCAATCCTGTCATCAATTATCATGATGCTAATATCAGTAGTAATGCATTTTCATATCGTTTCAATTTATTTCTTACTAATTTGTTCATTCGTAAAGGTAGCATTCCAGTATCCGAGTCTATTTTAACCAGTGAAAATAAGAAATGGAGTGATCGACTTTCTTACGATTTTAAAATCTAGTTTGTAAATTACTTAGAATTTGCTCATCGACCCCCTCCCTCTTCGCTCACTTTTTGTATTTCTATTTTTCCGACCAGTTTTGGATTGTAAAATGATGTTTGTTTTACCAAATATTATTTAAAGTATTTTTTCACAAATTATTCTAATGAGAAGAGTAAAGAAAAAGCAACAAACTATGAAAAGCATTTGTGGGGGTGGCATTAGTATGCTTAATTTCTATGCGTTATTATTAACAGTTATTTCATATGATTTCCATTTTTTCATAATCGCAAGTTTTCATTTTATTTAGCATATCTTTTTTTTTTCTCAAATAATTGTAACCTAATCATGAGCTAAATATCCTAATTTTGTACCCGAAATGTATTATTTTAGTTATTGTATGTTGTCGTTCAGTTGTTCATATCTCTAGATATGTACATTTATGGGTTAGCGATTTATTTAGATACAGACGTTTGGACTAATATCTTCTTGTCGTATTTTCTCGTTGGATGTTGGGGAAAAGGAAGTATCTGAACATGTGGTTAGTGTTCTTATAACAGATTTTTTAGTCAAGCAGTTAAAGTGGACAGTTCACAGGATCAAATCAATAGTAGTCGGACTCACAATTTGTTGTCACAGGGTTATTTTAAGTAGCTTAATGTATCAACAGCATCACTAAGTTGTGAGTGAGTTTTCTCGCGTTTCTAACATCAGGACCAGTAGATATCAGAGGTCATCACACAATGATTTCTAAGACTGTGATTATTTTAAATTCACTTCCATCGGGGTGAGACAATTTTTTAAGTATATGAGCCAACTGTTCTAACGAAGTGTGTCTACTGGGATAATAACTTTCTTGATTTCGATTTATACTTGAATTAAGTGAAAAGTCGGTCTCATTCCCTCAAGGGCATTCCTGGACTGTGACAAAATATCTGTCCTATACTCACTTTCACTTTTAATGACATGCTTGGAAATCCTCAGAAGTGGGAAAATAGAAAACAAATCCACTTGCGCCATTACGAACGAATCTGAGCAATGTTTTGCGAACCTTCCAACTATTGGTTACTATAATCTCATGGGGTCCAACAAAGTGGTCTGCACCAACCTGTATGACTCGATCCGACAGTCAGTGACTCCATGGATTAATACCATGTCTTGGTTTGCCCGTTAACAGCTTTCTTCCTACTTACTCCAACACCAGCGGTCACCGCGAGTCTGAGTCGCGATACGTAATATATGTCCTAACAGTGTGTCGATAAACACTTACTACCTCATCAGTCGATTTATCATCTTTATCTAATGCTCTACGTACAGTACTTTGAACTCCGTGGTCCCAAAATACACGACATTTTTGATCGAGTTCTAGTAACCTGCGCATATCATCTATGTTAAAAGCCACGTTTCAAAGTCGTAAAGTAGGACGGAATAAACTGTTGCTCAGTATACTCATCCTCTAGTTGGCAGATGGATATCTCGCAAGTTGACAAGAGCCAGTCAAACTTACTAAATCCATACCGAGATTTCGTTGGATATCAACTCATCAGGACTGATGAAACTTCTCAAATAAATGAAGGGACCGACAAGCTCAACTACTTCACTTTTTATTATTAGTTCATGCATTGATGTAGACTAAACTTAAGGTGACTTCTTGAATTTGGAGAGAGAAACACCGAAAGCATGCTGACATTGCTGTTTAAAGCAATCAGAAGACGTCTTCTTCAAATAGGACTATATCATTTGCTTCAACAAATGAATCTCCAAGTAGATAATTGTGGATGTCTTTAATAATGAGTATTTACTGCTGTATTGTAGTTGAATTCAACTAGTCAACTTTAATTGTTCAAAAATGCTTTCATACAAACTACTCAACTTCTATCTGGATGATATTTCGTGAAAAATTTTAAAAAAAGAAACTCCAATTAAAATATATATTTATTGTTGTGTACAGTTTCAAATGGTGCTAATTCAACTCGATTTTTTTTTCATATAGTTTATACAACAAAGAAAAAGTACCCAAATAATTATTGATATCAATAACCATACAGTTAAAATAATTGTACCAATAACGATGTTATTTCCTTCATTAATCATCATCATCATCAGATTAAAAGTTGAATTTCTCCCATGACAACAATCATATGTACCATTATTAGTTTTAAGAAGAATTCCAAATTTCAAATCACAATTATTTGTAATATAAGGTAAGTTTGTTTTTTCTATGTTGATTGTATAATTATGATTGTTATTACTTGATGATAACCAAGATATATTGGAATTCATTAAATTTGTACATTTTAATTGTTTCATTTTATTTGGATCATATTTCACTATTAAATTTTGTTGATATTCATTAAACAATTGATGATGAAAAGAATTCTGTTGAATAGTTTTAATGAGAAAAGTTTTTGTTTTATTCATTTGATATATTTGTTTATTCAAATTGATCCATTTGATGATTGGATCAATTTGATCGCATATTATTTCATCATGAATTTCTATATGTCTACTAGTAAGTAAAAATTTATCTATTATTGGTATCCATATATGCTGTAATAATTCATATTCACATGGTATATGAATAAAATGATCATCAATGTATAATTTAAAGCCTAAACGTTTAGCTTTATTCATAGCTAATTGTTTGGAACCATTCAATTTTGAATCATATAATCGTGTAAAGTATTCAAATGATAATCTTAATATTTTATTAATTTCCATCATTTCATAATCATTGCCATTGTTGTTGTTGTTGATGATGATTGTGGTATTGTTGTTGTCATGATTCTTGATAGTTTCTTTTAATTCTGATTCAAATCGTGGTATTTTCAAATAACATCGTCTATATTGATTGAATTTAATTTTGCCACAATGTTTTCTAACTTCATTTTCTTCATCTATTTTAAATATAATAGTCATAAAACGTAAATGATAATTAGCTAATTCAGTAATATTGTTTAATGTAATATTCATTTGATTATGTAATATATGTATTTGTTGTATATTTGATATGTTGATTAGTTTAGAATTTTGTTTCAATGAACCAATTCTATATAAATGATACCAAATAAAATTAGCTGGATGCATTTTATCTTTTATATATTGACAAACATATGTTCCTAAATATTTATTTGCATTAATATTTTGTCCAATTAATTGTGAATTAGATTTACTAATACAAAGATCATTGAATGGATCTTGTTTAATTCTTTCTAATAATTCATTATTAAGCATAGTATCACTTTCATATAATCTTTTATTAGATCTAATAAATATAATATACTTTTTATAATGTGGTATATAATTCCATTCAAATAGATCTAATCTTTCATCTGGACATATTGGACAAAATAAATGAAATGTAATATTGATTTCATTTGCATTAAATAATAAGAATTGATGTCGTTTACCAGCTTTTTCTATACGTTCAATATTACATGGTTTATTAGTTTTTATATTGGGTATATCAAAATTGCATATTTTTAGTTTATCATCAGTAGTATATAACGATAATAATAATAATAATTGTAGAATAATTAAAGAATTCATTATTGTATAATTAACTACATGTTGTTTTATGAATGTAACCATCGGCAATTCCTCGTTTTCACAAGTTTACAATACTGATATGTATTTACATCAGTTAATTATGTCAAACATTTATAGTATGGTAAAATTTAAAATTGTTTAAAATCTATATGTTTATGCCTTAAGCATAATAGTGATAAACCTATAAAATCTAATCATTTATCATATTTTATATACTAGATGTGGGCTGGGCTGTGATATTGCCCGGGTGCCCAGACCGAATTAGTGAACTTGATGGCTAGATGTGAATATTTATTATTATAATGAATTGAATAGATGTCTTTAAAAAAACGTCCGAAATAAATACAGTGTGTAAGGCAATATTATACAAAATCAAATATTACCCCTGATGGAGAAGCCATAGGTCACTCACCAGGATTCTCCATCTAACTTTCAGTTGCATGTGTTGATTTCAATTCATGTGACTGTAGCTTCCTTTCATCACTAGGTCACCAAAATGTAGTAGATTTTCCTACTGGTTTGAATGGTCATTTACACTTTGTTTTCATTAATGATGTGGGTATATATGTGGCTCGTAAACGTGTACCATTGTCTAGCTCGGATCACTGTACAATCCATGTTCTACCTAAAGTATATGGAAAACATGGAAAGAGTACATTCTTACATCAAACCAAGAAAGTCAAATTACTCAGAAGAAAATACCCGAAATCTGAAAAACATGTTTTGTAAAACTAAAATGATGTAGTTAAAACAAGAGTGATGTAACAAGATAAGGATGATGTTACTAAGGTAAAAAAAGACTCATCATTGTTTCTTTTTGAATACAAAGATCCAGTTTGAAACATTTTATTTTTATGGTTTGAGTAAATTTAAGGAGGAAAGAGTATGGTTATAGATTGATCATCTTGAAATACTTCATCAGCATCTCAACCTAATGTCCTATGATAAAGAGGAGGTTTGAAATCTCAGTACTAAGTATTTCATTGCTTTAACCTAATACTTCATACTTTTTGGAATAACATATACTTAAAGTCAAATACAGTCCGTTTCTTTTTTCTTCTCTACTTATATGTCAATTTTGTCGTTCTTTGCCATTTAACTGTTCATCAATTTGTATATATTACTTTTCAATTATTTTCTAAAAAATTATTTTCACAACATTCTTAAGAAGATTTTACATTGTTATTAAATGAGGATTTTTTATTTGTCTTGTACATTTTCCTACATTTTACTACCTGAGGAAATATGAATTTATATTCAAGCGAAATTTTAAATATAGTTTGAAACGTATGAGAATATTGAATGACGAGTATGGAACTTGATAACTTTCAACTGGTTTTCCGTCATGCAACCCAACTTCTTTAATTAATAATGTACTCGACATGGGGCTGTAACGTTTATGTGACGGCCCGTGGTGTTAGTCAGTTGATCAAATAGAAGTAGGTAAATCAGGGTGTGAACTTGACATTTATTGGTTGAATGTTGAACATTTGTAGTATCGGTTGCTATGTTATACCCACATAGTTTATTCTGGCATCCGCACAAGCCAATTTATTCATTCTTCTTGAGTCATGTTTTCATCATGTTAGTGATTCGCTTATTAATCGTGACTTTTTATATGAACATTTATATGAACATATGCACATGTTATCCTATTGATCACATGTCCTTAAGTTATTTTTGTTCGACTATAAATATTGATTCAGACATGGCTAAATTGAGTTTGCTCACACACCTACTCCACTATGCGTCATTTCGCTTCTCTATCTCTCTTTTCTTCGCTTCGTTTCTTAGATCGTTTGTCTGGACCAACGATTGTATAAAATACACGTACTGGAAATCCATTCTCGTATTTGACTTATTTAATCCCGTTGTTCACCAGCGATTTAAGTAGACGATTATATACAAGGGTAACTGGGATGTATATATCGATAACAATCTAGCATATGATCTAACTGGAGTCAGATATCGGGCCACTAAACACTTTTAGAACCAGTCAACCATTAACCTAGTCCCCAGTCATAGATTTCCACAGTTGTATCTGATCAAACTTGTAAGTCTATATCTGTTTACACCATATACTGTTGAATAAATCAAAGTTATGTTTATTTGATTTCCATAGATCGCGTATGTGAGGACGGCCCACTGGTAATCATCTTGTGGAAGAATATTCCAGAATCTCTACTTGTAGCTTCCCTATTAGATAAATGCTAAAAACCCTTGTTTGCTGGTTGGGTGAATATAATGATGATTTCGCTTTTACTAAAAAACTATAAACACCTGATAGTTTTGTACCATATTTGACACTGTTTGGAATAGCATTCGTTTGATTTGTCTTTCGTCTTGTGACTTGGAGGGTTCTAGCGTTCGAGTGTTGAAGTTATACGCGATATATCAAGAATGTAAGCTCCTAGATATAACAGTGTACTGGTTAAATTATCTAAAATATATTACTAGTTGTATCTCTTGAAATTGTTGTCTTAAAATAACATGTATTATGTGAAATTTGTTCCGCTTTTGAGGTTACACTTGAATGTAATTAATAACTGTTTAGCTGGAAAAAGAAAACAAATCCAGCATGTTAGTATGAATGCAATGTCTACCATCCTATTTCATTCATTATAAAGTAAGTACGATATTATATTTGATCAATCCGCAATACAATCGATCATCCCAAAAAACACAAGGTCATAACAATAATTTAACTTAGTTATTTACTTTTACTATAAATTTCATGTATTTTACTTCAGTTATACTACTCTCATCATTATTATTAGTATTTTCATTTTTACTTAATTTTATTCCAATTTCCAGTCATTTAAACGTCTGCCCAAATAATAAAACTGTTATATACAATAATAATAATAATGAATTAAACAAATGTTATGCATTACAATTGAATTTAGCTAAACAACGTCATATTATTAGATTAATTAAAGGTGATCAATTTACAATGAATTTACAATTAGCATGTCATTTATGTTCAAATGATAATCCAATACATTTTCAATGGTATCGTATTCTACGTAAAAAATCTAATCAAACAATATTTCATTTAAGTAATAAAACACTCTATGATCATAAATGGATATTGAATAGAGATTTACTTGAACCAGTTCTAACTAATACACTCATAAATGATCCATGTTTAATAAATGGAACAAATGAATTAGTTTATAAAAAATTTGATCCATATCATGATTCTGGTACTTATGTATGTCAATCATTAAATAATAATAAACATCCTTTAAATTTTATATGGTATCATATAGATTATATTAATGCTCATAATCGTTCGCAATGGCGCAGGTGCATCCACTCTCTGTGTTCTCCCAAACTCTAATCTTCTGAATTCTTCATGTCCCTTTTTCCCTCTTCCCAAATTTCTTTCACCGGATTATACTCTTTAAATAACATCTCCAAACCCTAATCTTCCCGATTACTGCTTATACTCTTGCTACCTTTACCACTACGGGATTTGAATCGACCACTGCATCTCTGTGCTAATGTGGTGTGGCAACTCGAACTGATGTACGTACGTACGAAGTTCTACGTTGTTACTGACTGACTGACTGACTATACAAATACATGGTCTAGATTAAATTTACCATTTATAGAACGAATGAATAAATCTGTAACTACATATAATCAATTAATACAATTACAAAAATATATTGAAGAAGAAATGAATCGGCCAGAATATTTTCATGATCAAACATTCAGTTTACTACGTATTACATCAAAATCATTTCATAATTTAACACACTACAAATATTGTGGTAATATCCATATCCAAAAAAAATCGTGTTTGTTATATACAGATACCAAGAAAACTACCAATCCATATTGATAATAGTAATAATAATATAGAAGAAATAAGATTAATTTATTTTATATTATTCAATGGTTTCTATGAACTTGGACAATTTTATGATAGTAATAATAATAATTTGTGCCCATTCATCAACTGTTGTTGGGGTAGCAAGCGCAGTTGCTTTTTACACTTTGGGATTCTGGATTGTTTTCAATGACTTGGGTGGTCAAGTTATTGTTTTTTTCTGCTAGAAACACACTTAACTACAAGTTTGGGTGTAAATTATATGAAATTAGAAAAATTAGCTATGGAATATGAACCATTCATAACATTAGATTGTTATCTTACTAAAAATATACATGTAATAATAATAATCGGCGAGACTGTAATTTATAGACGACCTTTGAACGAATCTTAAGTAATCTTGAGAAATATTAGCCAATCAACAAACAGTCAGTATAGAGTAAAAATATGTTATACAAAACCAAGGAAATAAAGTGGATACACTTCTTATACGTTGTTCAAAAACTTGTCAAGGTTAGAAAGAGGTTCAGAAGTTCTAAAATCGTAATGCATGCAGTAGTGGAAATCATCCATCCAGCCTCGACCACATAGCTTCAATATTGTTTATATGCACACCGGCTGATGAGTGCACAAAATGCTACTTGTGGATAACGACACGACGCACATAACCAAGCCTATGCAAGAGTCTGTACAATCTCCAATCATCCGTATATATTGTAGTACCTGGCTGCAGCCAGTGTTACTGGTGCCTTTATTTATTCAGTTCGCAATAATTGTCGCAATTTGCCTTAGTTAGGAATTATATATGGGGTTTTCATCACGAACTGACATCAGCTATAATGCCAGAAATTTTATTTAGCCAAATGGCCATCCATCCGGATGAAAGGCTTTCACGTTAAAATCCGAGATCTATTATCTCATACCTGATTGATTCGTCCACAAATTATAGTCCCGCCGTTTTATTTGTTATAGCCGCTCAATTATCACGTTTTTTACAAAATCCCCTATGAACCGATAGTACGTTAGCATTAAGCACTGAAGTTGGCACCGTAACCTTGAAATCTCTAAAACGCCTCTGATTGGCTCGTCCATAAATTAGAGTCTCGCCTAATAATCTAATTAAATGGAGTACAACTAATTTAACATTTTATTCACCTACTATATTCCATGAAAGAATTTATATGGATGAAAAATGTCAATTAATTATTCATTATGACAAATTAATTGATTCTAATATTTATAATCGTCCAGAATGTATACGAAAAGTTTGGAAGTACACCGTGGTCATTCCATACCGTAGTGAAACATCGGAAGAAATCAAGCAGATTCTAAACAATCATGTATTTTAGGGCTAGTGACAAGTTAGCTGGACGAAATGTTGGAATTATTTAAATTTCAATCGCTGAGATTATTTTAAATATAATTTCCACATATAATGACTCTATACTCGGCGCCCAATTTCTGTCAAACTATTCGTTGTAATCTTGACGAACATTCGTATAATTTATAATTGTTATATAAAAAATCAATATCAACCAATGGCAACTAAAAATATATAGATCAAAAACTGAAAAATCTTATTGCCAATGGCCTAGTGAAAATAATTTATTAATTGATAAGAACTTTCGTCTAAATTTGAACGAATTGTTTCACAATATTTGGGCGCCGAGTTAATTTGAGACATTAAAAAGAAGAAGAATATATTTGTAAAATCTCAGCGAATGAATTTTAAGCAAATCCAACGTTTCGCCTGGCAATCTGGTCCAAGCTTTTTCAAGGAAAATATAATCAAACAACAAAATTATCGAATATCAATAGGTACGTGGTTCTTCGGTTTACTGTATACTGAATAAGTCATCCAATCAACTTGAAGGATTTTTATAAATAGGTATTAGTACTAATGTGTAAGAGACATGTTTATATGAAAAATAATAAAGGTCAAACAAATAAAAGTTCATTTGAAAATAATCAAGGGGAGAGAAAGAATAAGAAATTGTCGTGTTATCCTAGGCCATAGAATGACTTAAGGATTACAAGGTAAATTCAAGGTTATGACAAATTGTTTTTGTACACATAAGGACAAGGTATGTGTTATGGAACCAAAACGTGTTATGGAACCAAAACGTGTTAAGATAACAGAATGTGTTTATACGCAAGTGATGTGAGGAGAAATTTCATTCAACTAAATATTGAACATTGTTAACGTTGATTGGATGATTTATTCAGTATACAATAAACCGAAGAACCATGTACCTATTGATATTCGATAATTTTGTTGTTTGATTATATTTTCCTTGAAAAAGCTTGGACCAGATTGCCAGGCGAAACGTTGGATTTGCTTAAAATTCATTCGCTGAGATTTTACAAATATATTCTTTTTAATTTATTAATTGGTTTATTATTTTTCATTATATGGAGTGTTATATCCGAGCGAAGATTAAATCATGAGTAACTTCTGAGACATATTAATTGACTAATATTATATATACATTCTTATGGTATAACTATCCAATCATTAGAATATGTATATTTATATTCCTCTTATTATAAGCTTTATTTTGACCTATAATTTATTATTGTACGATTAACTGATCTTAAGCTATGTTCAGTTTATAGACTACTACCTCCCACGTTCACAGTCACTTTTTGGCTTTATTGTGTACAAATGTTATTTCCTATTTTATGGTGCGTTGCGGTCTGTCTGATTGGTCTATAAACCCGGTATGTCTTAAATAAATGGTTCGATTCGCATATTGGAAGCTGGTATTGGTATTCTGGACTCAAGTGGACGGGCTAGGCGGACATAGGACCAATAAGGACGCTAGACTGCTCATACCGGTCGAACGTCATTGGTTTGGCACAGTGCTAACATTTTATAAGTCGTATTTTGATTAGTGGATAAATCACGTGATAAAAGGCCGGACATAAACTCATAACATGGAGTATATTTATTATAATAATACGGTTTATTTTAATAATTTATAATGTATATATATTTAAACAATCAGCAGCGAGACTATATATTTATGGACAAATCAATCAGGTGTAAGATAAGACTTAATAGCGTCTTAGCATTTTAGGTAATGTCAGTTCATGATGAAATCCCTAAATCTAGTTCCTAACCCTAACCATCAAATGTAAATCATAATTCTAATTCCTTACATTGCTTTATAGTCATCATTTTGCCCTAGTTAGTAAGTGGATGTTTTCATGGTTACTTTATTGTCACTCAAAGTTCGTCCATATATTATAGTTTCATCCAAATAGTTTATAGCAGCTCACATTTAATTTGATAAAACCGTTTTTTGTTAACTTATTTAACACGGATAGAGTTATTCGTACAATAACAAGTTATCTTATATCATTGTACCTTTATATATATTCATTCTGCTAGCCTTACTGTTAGTCGCTTAATTGATTCGATGATTCATTCATTACCCTATGTGTATATATGTACATTTTAATCCTGTTCACTCGCACGTTTGCTTTTCGCACTACTCTTTCATGCTTGTTTAGCGTACTTGTGATTTTGATTATCTATGTGTGATGCAATAATAAACGTAATCAACACTTCGTATTCGCCTTCTGATTAATACATCGTCAGGAACGTTATCTAATAACGTTTATCAGGACGAACAGTATACGAATTTTAAACATTATATTGATTACCGACCACCACAAACTAATGAATAGTTAGCATATATTGAACACATTGAAAAAAGTGTAGATTTTCAAACGGTATAATTGTTAGATGAATTAAAATTGATTATTTGTTTTATAGTAAAAGTTTTTGTAAAGAAGAAGAACGACAAGAACAGTTTGATTATAAAAAACATGAATTGGTTCTATTTCATTTATGTTTTGACTGTAATTTACGTAATGAAAACTGATTTTTCCCTCGACGCAAACATACAATAAAATACCATAATATTCGACTGCTTACTAGATTACGTGATACACGTATACTGTAACTGTTATTCTCCGAATTTTTTATTATACGCGCACTCATGCAGTAACCAACTCAACAATTGATTACCTAACAATAGAGACACAATGGTTCATTTACACAAGTATAGGCATTCCACACAGTGAAAGCCAAAGTAGTACTAAAAATGGAAGAGAATTCACAATATTAAGTTATTTCCCAAACATTTAGTAAAGTTCATTGTCTTTTCCCACTAGCTAATTATGACTCAATATTGTATGTTTCTCATAAATTACTTATAACCTGTAGCAACAAAATTACTAACAAACTTTTGTAGACTTTTATAAAAATGAACTTGTACGAAAGTTATTGTAAACACGCTTTATTTGATCTAGTACAGCAAAGTTGTTTGCAATTCAAATATAACTTTAAAGAACAAATATAATGTGACAAATAACAATTAACATGTGAACAGGAAGGTTCGGGATTTAAGTAATATGCCTAAGTGATAAGCACTCAAAATAAAACCGAATTATGGACGAAAAGCCCTTATTGAACTGATATCGAATGTAGGACAACTAACCAGTGAAGATAGCTGTCTTCTGTAATAAGATGGTAGACTGATTTATAATTTATGTAAGATATTTAAACATAATTGGTTGTAGGATTAAGATAATTGTCAGACCATTCACGAGTCAAACCAATTGAAGTCCTAATCATTTGAACTAAATCTTGCCCTCTGTATCGTTAAAGCACCTATTAAAGTTGTAGCAAAGCATCAAGGGACTTGAAATAAGCAGTTGGATAATCAAATGAATGGATGGAATTTATCGGCAGCTTAAAATGAAATTATAAACAATGTAAGAGTTATGAGCAAAGATGGATAGTGCCTAACAGTGGAATCCATGATGCACGTTTGTAAAATTTCAGAAAACTCATTTATAGTATATTCGGTTAGTTCATATCAAGCTATTCTAATCAACTCGTGATATTAAGAAGGATCTTCCAGTATCATTGGTAAGTGCTAGGTTCGAAGCTATTACGAGTTCACTTAGTATGCGAACGGAACAAAGACTTGTGACCTTAGACCAATAAGCTAGCTATTTGATGCGTCCCAGCCCCGCTAACTACAGGAAGAAATCCAAGCTTGGAACGGAAAAGTATATTCCGTAAACCAGAAGCGCGAGTGAATGATAACATACAAATCAAATGTATATATATAGCATAAAACTGTCCTTGGGAATCGTAGCAAAAATAGCATACTAAAAATACATAACGAACCAATAGCGCTAAAGGTTCTCCCAAGTGGGTGAAAAGTGCGCTTCTAGAGCGAAAACAAGGAAATTCAAATTTCCGGAATAAAATTACAAAATTAAGGCATTCACCAAGTGAGTTCTGGGGATCTAACATCCCCAACAGTAAGTAACTGTCTTACACTCAACATGATTGAAATCAACTGTTCACAGCTTCTCGTTAGAACTATGAAAATCGCCTCTTGAAATTAGTCACTAATGAATAAGAGATCTTTATGAGGTTAGAAATATATCAGGTTAGACATTCGCCACTAAACTTGATGGTTTTGGGTTCGAAACCTGATGAAATTTCTAGTGCGCATTATTAACATGTCTCATACTAGAACAGGGAAACTGTCTGTTCATTGGCTGTTTAACTGTTGGGATGTGGTCTGCTTGATTGGTATATAAACAGAGTATGCTTGAAATATAACGATTCATATCTCAGAGGCTGAGACTTGCGTTCTGGACTTAACTGGCTGGGCTAGACAGGGAAGCGGGGCCAATCAGAACTCTAGGCCATTCTTACGTGTTTACGCGTCTTTGGTCCGGTCGATAATAAGCTGCCCTCTAATCAGCAGTCCACAAGTATAACATTAACTGAGGTCAATTTGTGATATAAACTATAAAATCTAACAATCTCTGAAGATGTTTTACATTAATAATAACAATAATTCGGTTACAATATACGAACATCAATTTATTTATTGGTAGAATGACCGACCATTCATTCAATAAATATATAAACAAAATTAAGAACCATTCATATTTTATTTATAATATTCTATAGATCAAATGTATGATTTTTAAACTATACCATTATATTCTGTAGTCAAGGATGAATAATTGTGAAACTATTTTCATTAGATTAAACCATGTTAATAATATGAAGAATTGGATTTATCAATGGATTATATATTTATTAATTTACAATATTGTCGGTATGTCATTTATTAACTCGCTTGTATTAATCTTAATTTATATACCATAACATTCAGTATTCGTTTTGGAGGAGACTGTAATTTATGAATGAGCTTATCAGAAGCGTTTCAGGGATTTCAAGGTCATGGCGCCAATTTCAGTACCTGATTCTTACGAACGATTGATTCACAGAGGATTTTAAAGAAGACGTGATAAATGAGCGGCTACAATAAATGAGACTACTAAGAAATTCCTTCATTTTTTTAATTGTGATAATCATATGACTTGTGGACCTTGTGCAGACTACTGTAATGATGTTGTGTTTCGATGTGATATATGTTGGAGGAAGAATTTTGCTAGAGTAGGCATTTTTCGCTCAATCCAGATTGAGCAATTTGTGGTAATTGTTGCGAACTGTATAATAAGAACACCAGTAACATTGACTGCAACATTCGCAGATGTTACCGAAGTTTCGGTTGTTCAGTGGTATAGGTTTTGTAGAGATATATCTGTAATAAAAATGACAAGCTAACACAACAGGAGTGCACACAAACAATATTGAAGCTGTGTAGTCGAGGTCCATCATTATGGAGTTATATGGATGAGTTCGTCTACTATATGCATTACGATTTTAGAACTTCTGAACTTCTTTCTAACCTTGGCAAGTTTTTGAACCATGTAAAAGAAGTATATCCACTTTATTTCCTTGGTTTTGTATAATATTTTTGTCTAAACTAACTGTTTCTTGGTTGAGTATTATTTTTCAAGGTCACTTAGGATTCCTTAAAAGGTCGTCCATAAATTATAGTCTCATCATTGAAGCTACGTGAATTAAGAAATAGTGTGGAATGTTAGTTAAACAGTAGTTAAAACGACCTCAAGAATTTACTTGATATTCTGTAATGTCTAAAAATGTCGATGAGATCCAGAATATTCCTTGAAAAATGCCCCGGAAGGCCCTGAAAACTCTAGGATACATTTTTATCTAATCATCGTTGAATAGAAGTTTAACAGAAATATCTAAAAAGTGAAGAGTCATGTGTCACATTTCTGATTGGATGATTACTTATCCAACTACTATGTTTAATAGTGTTCCAAAACCTTCCAGAAGCCCAAGGTCATCTGAAGTACTATAAATACTCTAAATTTTCTGTACATAGAACGAACCATGGAGTAAAGCGTCCTTTTCCATACTTCACATCTTTTCTCCCGTGTTCAAGTTGTCGTGTATATTTAACCTGGGGTTATTAGAAGAGTTTAGGGAACCAATACAAGAGTTCAGTCGGAAGATTTATCAAAAAATGTATTATATTCCACAGATTAAAGTCGGTAAATTCCAACTTCAACATTTAATTCATTTAGTGTTAATCAATTTCACATTTCCACTACTGAATGGTGGTTTGATTTTATTGATGCGGTTAAAATATGGCTTCTAAACAAAGTGATTCAGCATCGTGGCACATGCACTAGGTTTGATGTTATTTAGTTAAACACAATCAACAGGACGCCATTGACACAAGTTTTAGATCTCATCTAAAATGACACTTACATTAATCTTGCAGATACCATTTCACTGATGATGAGTTTAAACTGACATGACACCTAGATTTAGGGTTTATTCTCAGTTTTTTCCGAAAATGTTAACATTTCAGTCATAACTACTAAAATGTGACATGCATTGGTGTTACTTTGCAAATAGGTTTAGTAGCTTGATTCATCATTCATTCTTTTTTAAATAACTTGATCACTAGAAATCTTAGCTGTTTGAAATATTATATATATATATATATATATATACCCGATAGGCGGCAGGTTTAAACCTCGTTTATCTAGCTTAGGTGAGAACAGTCAGACAGTATCACTTAAAGTCTAGTACAATAACTGTATACAGTTAATAAAGAAAGAAGAAAACTTTTGTTCAACTATTTCCTTTTGATAAAATTTTCTTTCACATGCAAATCTACTGTGCTTATGATGTTCGGTCAATGGATCAATCCACAGATTTGTATGGTCTTACTATTGTTACCATTACTATGTGTTACATCAGTTGACTATGAAGTATTTCTAAATGTATGAATCACGTATGCAGAAAGATTATATTTTAGAATAGTCTGTCAATCATCATTGAAGTAAGATCTGAAATAAACACAGAGATAGAGAACATTAACAGAAAACGAGACAAAAAAGGGACCAAATTTCAGTTGCAATAAAGACTTAAATATGAGAGATATAGTTTGAAAGAAAAAAACAAGACTGAAGTATTACCAGTTGAGAATGACACTTAACTCAAGATTAAGTTTACATATAGTTGATTTACAACTGAATAGTGATTGATATCCTGTTTGCTTAGTCCTTTCGTGCTGATCAACTTCTATCGATCAAACGGCATTATGGTCGGTAGTCTGAGTGATTAAAATACATCACGTGCACCAGGTTTAAATTTTAGGTGGTTGGAGGCAGTCGGCAAAAACACCTAGACCTAGTTTTCCTATTATTTGATACTAGTCAGCAGGATGTACTTGTAATCTTGAAGGAACTTATGATCCCTGGTAGGTTTGATCCTGTATAAACCAGCTTCACATTTACAGGCAACATGGTGCACAAGATATAAAGTTACTTAAATTAGTGACGATGTCTCGATTTCATCTATGGAATTCGGTCAGCACTAAAAAGACTATAGAGACATGAAATTGGCCACTACTCCGTAGTCAATCAATTGTGAGTTACTGTCAATCCTACAGCAGGTCAACCATTGATTACTAATATTACAATGTTTTAGTATTGGGACATTAACCAACTAAGTAGATTAGTTAAGTGTGGCAAGTGAATAAGTAATAAATGAACATAGTTTTGATGCGAATTCTGTGGTTACTTTGTACAAGCACTTTATTCCTTAATTTATTCTTTCCTTATTTAACTGACAAAACGTCCATTTATCCTAATATTTTATTTAAAGACGCATAAATTTGAAGGGTTTCGTGGAGATTGTTAAGATTTTTAGTATTATTCGTCGTAGACTAATCTCACTCGGGATACTGTTAAAAAACATGTAACACCAGATATCTTTTTTATCTTAGAATGGAGCTTCTCAAAAGTCCCATGATCTCGTGCTGAACTCTTAACCATTAGAATGATTATTTCGTCGTCCACTTGAGGCAATTTAGATGTGAATAATAGTTCTAACACATATTCGAGAACTCAGTCATTTAATTAGCAATTTAATCTTTCTAAAGTTATTCGATTCAGGTTCGATTTTTTATTCGACTAATTCAGTTTATCGAATCATTTAGATTCTGGTAGTATACAGACTAGATTATTGTTTGTCGTTAAATTCTTCTGTTATGTGGTTAGCGGAATCACTGGAAAAAAAGGAATTGTATGTGGTAGATAATCTCAGCTAATCTACATTATGACTATTTTAATTCAGAAATGCTTTGTTAGGTGTTATATCGATCTCGTTTCGTTCCGATTGATTCTTCTAACATCATTTTTCAAAAGGAACTAGCAAATTAATCTAATATATTTTATAAATATTGAAATATACTGAACTGTTATTGGTTTCTTTTCTCCAATTCTCCAGTTCCATGTCAAACTAATGAAATTTACAATACGACATCTAATCAAGCATTAACTTGTAATTCATTACTTACAAGCAATGTATTACAATATTATATGGAACAATTATTAACTCATTATGGTAAAGATAGTGCATACAAAATTGGTAATCCAATCAAATTTGGTACTGCTGAATTTTTCGACATAAGAATTAGTGGTTTATCTGCTGTACAATTCTCAGAACCAGTTGATATTATTGATCTACCATCAGGAAACATACGAATGATATTTCCGTTATTGTTTGACTATCTTGTTATAAATGGTAAAATGAAAATGATCATGTTTGCTACTAAACCTCGGGTAATTAAATGTGTTAACTAGTAATAATAATATTATTTATATCTCAATGAGTAGAAAATTTTACTTTTGACGTTTTGTGACTTAATGTTAGTCACTTCTTCAGAGTATTAACTATTGTTTTAAAGTTGGATACTATAAGTTAGAATAGTTCATGTTATGTAGTTAGATATAATTTACAGAAAGCCACTTGGACTAAGCTTTCTTGCAAGTTAGCACTTGTCAGCAGCTTGAGATCATAGCTACTATCTTGATGTGGTATTTGGGTTTAATTATCGTGACGACCCAATTAAGCTGCATTGTCTGAAACACCTGTTCCTTTAGGTCTATTAATGTCAAGCAGGTTCGTTGGAGAATTTTAAGACTAAAATCAATAACTTAAGGTCCGAGGGAGAAGTTCTACTGTTCACAGTGTTAGGGTGTGATGGCAGTATATAGTTATTGGGCTTTTTTCTCCAGTTCTCCAATTGAAGTCCTGTAATCTGACTCCAATTAGATCATATGATGATGTTATCGAAGTAAACATCTCAGCTACCCTCGTACATAATTACCGACCTAATTTACGTTAGAAAATAACGGGATAAGTCAAATACGAGAATGAATTTTGAATACGTATATTTCGTACACTCGATAGTCCAAACAGACATTCAGTATGAAAGGCTGGAAATTGGAATTGAGAGGTCAGGTGAACCAATACGATTTGATCAAGTGTGACTCAGTATTTATAATCAGACAAAAATAGGCTGCAGATATGTGATGAATAGGGTAAGCAACACACGCATATACTCATTCAAAAACGTCCATGGTTAATAAGCGAATAATTGACAAGGTCAGATTATGACTCATGAAATACGACTAAGCTGGACTATCCGGAAGCTAGAATAACCAAAGCATGCTTCACATAGTACCAAACACTACAAGATTTCATGGTGAGTAGGTTTATTATCCAACCACCGAATCAGAATTCTATCTCTCCTATTTTCAAAATGCAGTCATTTTTTGGCATAATTCATTCATTGTCACTACTGTCTCATTCCAGATTTAATTGCTTCCTATTTAACCCCTTATTTGTTCTTAATTAAGTTGTCTAATGACTGATTAAAAAAATAATTAGGATACTTGATAACGTTATTAAGATGTTAATAGAATTTTAAAATGATTCTCATCTTTATTGTTTTGCTCTTCAACAATGGATATGGATAATGCCATACCACAATTCGGTCGACCAAGTATGTTATATGGACTAGTGAATTGTAACTCTTTAGTTCAAGAATATCATGGTCATTGCTAAACCTGTATAGTTTTATAATTGTGACGGTATTCATTAAGAATCACAAGCTAGAAGAGCATATCCAACTAATATTGCTTGGTTCTAAACTGTTGTTCAGCTGATATCACTTTTTAATAAAGATCACTTTTGGAATATACTTTTTTAATTTCGAAGGATAATATTTTTGAAGGTCATCTTTATTAACAAGATTAGTTGTCACGGAATAAATTTCCAAGATATTATTATTAGATCGGTTAAAGTCCATCTGATTTTCTATTAATCTATGTACGACTACCCATCGCCTACATTGACAAAGAATATTAGTCCGCATACGAGTAAGTTGGAAGGAATTTGAAGGTATCTAAACCAGAAAGCGATATCAGTTCATGAAATGATTGACTGTTGATCTAACCCATGTTCCTAGAAGCTGGCTATCCTGGTAAAGTCAAAGTAATAACTACAATTATGGGCTGAAGACAGTCGATATCGCTCAAAATTAGTCACAATGATATATATATTCTACCTTATGATAAAACTTGACTTTTAACCCTTCCTCATCAATATGTCCTCACTCTGTCTTTTCGAACTATGTTCGTAATTTGAAGTCTTTCTGACTATGATTACCACTCCATTATATCTCTTTACTAATCGTTTTGTTAATTTTATTTAAATTGTGTTAATACTGTATGGCAGTTTAGACTGATGCATATTTTTACCAGGCTTTACATTGATTATGACTGACTTACTTTTTCTCACAAAATTAATTATAATCTCCACAAAGCACATATATTTTCTATAGGTCATAGTCTTCAGATTTTGTTATGCAATCACGGAAACATTGATTAGTTATGTCTTCTTGTAATAGTTATTTGCTTCTCTTTTAACTAGTTACTTGAAACTTTTGATGAAACTGTTCTGAATCTATTAGTTTATTTAACTGATGGGCAAAAATTTGAAATAATGCTACCATTGTGGCGTGTGCTACTTATATTGATATAAGTAGTATATGACGCGAGTCAGGAATGTATTGTCTGGCAGCAGAAGATGGGGGAAGATCAAGAAAGCAAGAGCGGGAATAGAATGCAATTTGTATGAAAATAAAAGGACAATGAATTCTGAAGTATTTTGAAACAATTGGTGGACATTTTGCAAATTAACGATTTGATATATGGTTCTCAGATTTATTGAGATGCTCTGTAGTATCATGTTACGTGCCTTCGATTGTCTCTATCGGTGTTCTTGTTCCCTACACCATAATAATGTGCAGTATAGCTAATGATATAGGGACATGATAAGTGAGATGATAGGATCGTCTTATGATTTTAAAGCCAATGAATAGAGGGTCTTAGTAAATTAAAAGTATTTTACATCAGAAACAATTAAATCTGTTGAAGTTTAACGGATTTAGAAATTTTATTGTTCTTCATGACTAATATGTTCTATGAAGTATCGATGAATAGCCTCATTGATCGATATGTCCATCAATTCACCTTAAAGGTCTTTTTCTAGATCTTTTTCATAACCATAGATATTTTAGTATCATTATTAAAAAGGTTTGAGTTATTCCATTAGTTGGCATATGCTCAGCTTGCGTGAATTGTCTCGATTTAGTCGTTCTTCACAAGATTTTATTGAATAAATAGACGATAGTTAACAGTGGATTATATAATGTTCATTTCGTCCTTTAGATTAAACATCATTCATTTTTAAAGTCCTCACAGCAACAACAAAAACGAACGAAAAATATGCTCTCGATTCTAACTACCTTTATTAGTATTATTAATGGCTTTATGAGATAGTGGAGATTTGTAGCTCAGGTCTACCTGAAGTTTATGCTGATGTCGTTCAGAAGAACGATGAAAGCTCCATGATCAAACCCATCCAGCTCAGAGAACAAAACTCCATCAAAATTAATGGCTTTATTCAATATGATATTTTCGTTAGAATATAAAATTCTCAGAACAAAGTATTTCAATAACTTTCCGTTTTTCTGCTTAATCATGACGATAAATATTGAATAATCACCAGTTAGATAGATGTTAGCAATTCAGAAAACGATATCTGACTAATATTCATTCTTTTCAATGCATGTTGCCAGTCACCACGATCTCTCTGATTGTACTTTTTTATAACTTGCACAGAGAAAGTTCATATACTTTTCATAAACGCGCCTAAATAGATTATACGGTTAATAGACATAATGATGTATCAAAACAAACAAAACACTAGTGACTGACTTCAAGATATACTCCTGGAGTTCTGGTGGGAAGCTGTGACCGGTGGAGTTCAATCAGGTCTGTTGTGAGATATCAACTTACTGAAGACAATGGTGTACGGTGGTACAATTTCGTGGATTGGTTGAAGCTAGATATTAACACCGTTGAATGCCGGCTCAGTGGTCTAGTTGGTTAAGCACTTGTGTGTGAGACTGATAAATCCTGGGTTCGAACCTCGCGAGGGGCGAGATCGTGAATGCGTACTGCTGAGAAGTCCCATACTAGGATGAAACGGCCGTCCAGTGTTCACAGATGTCCCATCATGGTCTAGCTTCAATTGACTCATGATTTCAACTATTGAAAAACAGATAACTTCTTGAAAAATTTAGATGGCAAGAACAAATAGCCGAGATATTCAAGCAGGTCATCAATGATCTTTATACTATAGTTACAATTAATATACTTCATAGTTTTTTTTTATCTAAATATACTTTCTCTTCCTCTTTTTTTTCTTCTTCACATTTCATAGTCGGTTGAAATTAAAATTAAATCAATCAAAATATATTTGGATTTACTTCTTATACAACCAATGGACAATGATGTATTATTACCAATTCGTGTGAACAAAGTTACTGTTATCCATTGGAATAATCTTCGATTTGATAGTAAAGGTGTTTTTACAATCTTTTTTAAAATGTTCAATCAATTCCGTTTATATGATGGTATCATTAAACGTTCAATTGAAAAAGAAATTTATCAACAAATTGAAAGATCATTAAATTCATTTTTTAATAATTAAAAAAGGAATAGAAGTCAATTGTTTAAATTTATTTCATTGTAAAATTGAATAATTTTATTTTGTTTTATTAAGTAGTAATTGAAATCAATGTTATATAGTTGTAAGTTCTATTTAAGCAATAGAGTTAGACAAGGTTGCACAATCTCAACATTCCACTTGAATTTTGTTATCGATAACGTTCTGGAAACAGTTTTGATGGATGTAGAAAATGGTAGTGTGAATTTGTTGTTTAGAGAAAGACTTCTCGACCTTAAGTATGCGGGTGATACCCAAGTCATACAATCCGTACTTAATCAGTTGGCAATTAGTGCCTGTAGGTATGGTATATGCTTTGCACATTCCCGGTGCAAAGTTCGTGTATATGTGTAGTTGCATAAGTACTGGTGGTGGTGTGAGTGATGAGATCAATTCACGTATAGTGAAAGTCAAAGTGGCCTATGCTAATCCGGATCATCTTTGGCGCCTTCGTTCTGTAAGATTGGCTGTAAAAATCTGAATCTATAACACGTCAGTGAGAGCGGTTTTGCTCTATGGTTGTGAAACCTGGCATCATCAAGTTGAGAATGTTAGACTACTCTTTGTGTTTGATTATCGTTGTCTCCGAAGCATTGCTGCCATCCAGTGGCAGTACCATGTAAGTAATGCAAACGTTCGGCATCGTGTGTTTGGGTACAGCGACGGTAATTAAATTGCTATCACTATCTTGAAACATCAACTTCGGTGTCTTGGACATGGCTTACGAATGTCATCCCAGCTAGTTCCACATCGTGCATCATTCGCTAACTCTGGGACCGGTTGAAAAAACAGAGAGGTGGTTAGTGTACGACATGGTATCGTGGTACGAAAGAAAGCTGTACAGGACTGGCTTCTGTTGGTCCTTGACGAGTCCCTGGTTGGGGTCCTAGAGATGGTGCGACATAGTGGCTAGAGACGTTATCAGATATGGCTCAGAATAGAAGCCAGTGGCGATCCTGCTGTAACTTTATCTTACTTTTTTCATAAAAAAATAGACGTATCTTCTTTAACTGGAAGAATTTTTCTGGTTGTACATATGACGACGGACCACGGGTGAACTCGAGGAAGCTGTAGGAGGCTCAGAAGGAGCCGTAGATATTCCACCCAATCACCTTTTGAAAGAATATTCTAGAATCCCTACGTGTAGCTTCCCGACTGGATAATGCTAATAACCCCCTGTATGTGGATTGGAGGACTGTAATGACGACTTCGTTTTTACTAAAAACTATTAGTACCTGACAATTTTGTATTGTAATTGACACTGTCTGGGAAAAATATCCCTTTCATTAGTCTTCTGTCTTCTCATTGCGACTTGGAAGGGTTTTGGCGTTCTAGTGCTCACGTTATACGCGGTATATCAAGAACAACCTTCTAAATATAACAGTACATTTTCTGACTGAACTGCTTTTCCCATTATTATAACTTCACTCTCATACACTAATTTCTGTTCGTTATTGTTCCCATTTTCTTATACGCACCATACATTCTCTATCTCTTCACATTCTCATTGTTACTGTGTGGCGCATGTATTTGATGCTCCTTTATACCAATATATATGTGTTCAAACAAATAAATGTATATTTGTAAAATGAATAATTTGTATTCAAGTAATTTTACGTTTCTTTCGTGCGTCGTTTTGTTTTTCGAGTTTTTCTCATTTATGTTACCTTGTAGTGTAGGAGAGACTTCCGTCTACTAACAAAAATGACGAGTATACTGCTCAGCAGTTAGCTTTCTCTTCTATTTTATGAGTGTGAAATTCGACATTTAGAAAGGATAATAATAATAATAACAGGTGAGACTATAATTTATGGACGAACCAATCAGATATAAAATAATGAGTCTCGTTTTTGGTACGAAATTCATCCACGCATTTGGCTAAATAGAGTTTTGGCATTATAGCTGATGTCAGTTCGTGATGAAAACCCTAAATCTAATTTTTAACCCTAACCATCAACTGTAAATGAGAATTCTAACTGCTTTGTAATCCTCACTTAGTCCTATTCAGTAGGCGTCCACTCTTAAGGTCACTTCAGCGTCGCTCAAAGGTCGTTCATAAATTATAGTCTCACCTAATAACATAGCTTTATTCAGTATCATATGTTAGGTTACTAGTGTTTGAGCATAGATGTCTTCGGAGCATCGATCACATATTTTGAAACCATCAAGTAACCAGTGTTGATGTTAGAAATTAAATATTAGATAAAGTAAGTAAATCGGTTGCCTCTTCCGATCCGATTCCTTTTAATGTATTATATTATGTTACTTACTAATATTCAGTAGATAATGTATCTCGTTATTTTCGGAAAAATGGCTTACCGCGTTTTTTCGTTGGTATGTATTATTCCCAAGGACATACACGAAATTGTAATTGTACATTATTAACATTTTCTGATATGTGGGTGAGAATGATAATGATTGGTTGTCTGCTTAGTCAGATATGTAGATGGTCTGACAGGTGTCAGATGAGTTACATATTCCCCTATCCTTATTATTATTATTATTACTCACTTATTATTGATTGTTCATTGTTGTTGGATTGTGTCAGGGTTTTGGTGTGGAAATATATTTACGTTGTGGTCAGGCTAATCACGTGTTCTTGGTCTGAGTTATGTTGACGTCCTGTAGAATAGACACTGGGAGAGAATTTTATGTAGATATTTGAATAAGGTAAATTAACGTCCTATAAGTGTAAACGTGGAAAACTAACCGTTCTAACATTGTCAATACTTGTTTTCATTTATTTTGTGTCCATTGAACACTTATTTATTTATAATAGTTTACATATTTTGTGTTCTTAGTTCTCATTTTGATTATTGACTACAACCGTGCTATTCATCAATCTATTGGGTGTTACGTCGGTTATCGAATGTTTTGGTCGATAGGATTTGAGCTGCACTAAGAGGGCCTTGACACACATGACATTGATCACCATCCAGTGATTAATCAATTGTGAGTACATCTCAGCCCGGATAGCCCAGCGGTAACGTCTCTGACTGGGAAGCTAAAGTGATACGGGATCGAATCTGTCAGGGATCACCAGTTCCTTCAAGATTACAGGTACACCTTGCTGACGAGTGCCAAATAGCACGAAACCTGGGTCCAGGCTTTCCTGTTGACTGCCTCCAATCACCATTTTATCTCAACATAGTTCACGCAACGTCGAGTTCCTAAACCAGTGACCACATTTCAACTCGGTCAATAGCATTCGATCTGCATTAAGAAGGACTTGACATACATGACATAGATCACCACCCAGTGATCAATCATTTGTAATGTTTTTGTACCTACTTTCTATATTAATATAACGGAAAACATTTGTTCATTCATTTTAAAATGACACAGTAAACGCCTTTTGCATCTCAGTACCATATCCACGTCACTTATTTTTATACTTGAAAGAATGAGGAACCGCTGCAATCCCTGCGACTTGAAGTAAGAACGCCAAGACTGATATAAGTGAAGATTTATTAAGACCAAAACATGACCCTAGTAGGAAATACACTCATCCACATATATTGATTGTACATCCATTTTGATTATTAACTAGGATGAAATAACATATGTAGTAAATATCCAAAGTTATGACAAATTACATGCTACATGTCATGATGAGCATAGTGTACGTTAATTTTGTACAAGAATATCGTATCTTGAATAAACATCACATTCAAATAAACTAACGATATACCGAATAAAATACCCTGAACAACGGAAGTGATGTTGAATGAAAATTACAATGAGTAAACTAATATAATTTTACCCTTTCATTCTATCATATCACTAACAAGTTAAGGCTTGTGCTAGGAACACAAGTATCCTATTTTAGACAAATCATTTGTTGTTGTTGTTTTTTGTTATTTCTGCGCACAGATCAGTAACATTTAGGATCTTCACGTCATGGAATGATAAACTGACGAACTAAATATTACCCAAGATTATCAAAAAACCCGCTTCCTTCTAGTATTGTATTACTGAATGGTGAACACTAACGATTACTTCAAAGATTATACGTAAAGGTGTCGGTTTCGAAGACAGTTTAATAAATAAATCATCAATTCATTCAGATTATACTTTTCCATCTTCTAAGTTCTTTTTTTCTTTAATACATTACTTTACTTCATAAACACTTTACAATGGCTAGATTCCTCATGAGTTATAGAATAAAATTTCACAGATTAAAACCATGAGTCAGTTGAAGCTAGATCACCATGGAAAACCTGGAAGCACTGGACGGCCGTTTCGTCCTAGTATGGGACTCCTCAGCACTGCGCATCCACGACCCCGCGAAACCAGTAGGTCCTGGGTTCGAATCCCGCGGGGTGCTGGATCGTGGGTGTGCACTGCTGAGGAGTCCCATACTAGGACGAAACGGCCGTCCAGTGTTTCCAGGTTTTCCATGGTGATCTAGCTTCAACTGACTCATGATTTCAATTTGTGAAATTTCTAAAATCTCCACAAACCCCTTCTGATTATAGAATAAAAGACAAATACGTCTTATAAAACATTTCATTATGTTAAGAATAAATACTGATAGTAACAATAACGATATCACATTTTATATGAGAACTTGTTGTACAAAGCCTATAGCATTTATGGTATAGAGGGTGGTGGTGGTGGGAAACTGAAAACTGAATGGAAATGCATATATTCATTTTTTTTGTTCAAATTACCTTTTGGTTTTATGTAAACTAATATGATACATATGAATCAGAAGGATTAAACATAATATCAACTTATTTGTGAATTATATGCAAGTTTTAACAATTTTCATGGAACTCTTGAATGTCAATAAAATAAATTAATTAACGAAACAAAGAACTAAAAAGCATATCAACCCAGGAAGAAAAGGAATGAATTGTAATGATTCATTTGTTTATCTCTTATCAATTAAATTGTAAATTATTTTCATTAAAACGCTGTACACTGTAATATCTGTGTGGATTAAAGTTTATTATTCTGTGCATTTATGTAATTATATATATCTGTGTAGGCAGATCATGTCAACGTAAGGGACAAATAAATGAATAAGCGAATGAATGAATACTCAAATTAGTAAATGAATGAAAGACATTTGGCAAAAATGAAGATTGTTTCATTGTTTTATGGAAATTGTTTAAAGTTATAGTGGTTTTGTTTATAAGATTGGTAAGAAAATTAAGCGATTATATAGCAGCATTGTTGATAACATCAGATAGTTTACAAACATTGTTACACCTTTTTTTGGAATGGATGAGCTAAAACCAAATATTTATAAGAGTAAACATTAGTTGGTTATTAGTAACAATTAAAATAAATCTTTGTTACTTCTGTGTGTTTATTAACCATGAATAGGATATAAGATAGATTATTCTATACAGATTTGTATTATAATGGCTTTCTTGAGGCAATCCGCACAGGATGGACAAATATCAACCAAAACTAATTGAAATTCAGTCAACATATCAACGACGGGATAATCAAAGCCATTACAAATTAAATTAAGATTCGTACCCGTTGCATTAATGAACGCTGTCTGAACCTAATAGTTAAGTTTGTAGCGCGTTATTTTTTGAAGCGAAAAGTGCTGAAATTGAATTACGAAGTAAAAATCAACTCAGAGATGATGGCACATCCAGCTGACGGGTCCCAAATAGGATGACAAGCGAGTCCTACATTCTACTGCTACCCATTTTTTATCTGTTCTACATAGATTTGTATATATATACTTATAGCAACCGATGAGTAGGTATCGAATTTTATGGATCCATATGGTATTCAGTTACTATTCTGATTAACTCAACAAAACGGTGTACTTTGTTTGGTTTTAAGTGGATCACGAGTCCAGACCCAGGTTTTATGCTACCTCAGACTCATGACTGAAGCCTGTTCCCTCACCCATCTGAATAGGATTCTATTCGCTCTGTAGTTTTATACATGATGTTCGTCACTACTCAGCAACTGATTAGTGTAAAAAACCTAGTCGTTAACCAAGTGGAGTATTTGAAACATTTTCCATCACAATTATGGATAACGTGTGACATGAGTTCTTTCAAGTTTACTGAAACTTTATACTGTTAGGTGGAAAATAAGCTTTCTTTAAACTGTTTCCGACTACCGGTAACCGAATACCCTGTGTGTATATTTTAGGATTTATTGATTTACTCCTTATTAACCCTTATTGAAATCATTGCATAATGAAAACCGGAGTACACTGAACAACTCTCACATTACAGTCAAACCTGTAATGATGTATGTGACTGAACTAAATTTAATTCATACTTATTTAAAATCATTTATCAAAAGTAGGAATTATTCACATGATGGTGAAATAATATTGACAATGACCTATCTAGGATAATAGAATCTACTAACTACATTTTTAGTAGTTAAGAATTAGTGAATGGTACATTTCGCAAACGTTTCATGTCATGAAGTAATGGGATGGGTAACAAAAACTAAAAAGCGTATTCAGTTAGGCGCATGTATGAAGACAGCATAATTGAAGAGTGATTTTCAAACCAAGAATTGGTAACATTTAAAGAATGATTAGAATGCCAATGTATATTGGGCAGCGGATTCAACCAATCGTGTCACGTCAGTAGTGTACACCACGTACTCAGTCTACTTTCTAAACGAAACTTTAATTTATCTTGATAAACACTATGTCAAAACATATTGAAGAGAAGTGTTTGTCAAATTCCACCTCTTTTTATAATGATAAAAAGCTGCATGCACTTATAGCCCCAGAAGACACAAATAATCTGGTCTTTTCATATCTCGCTCAATGTATCCAAGCATATTTATTTCATATTTTCTGGATCAGTTTATTGGTATGATTATATTCACACAAACCATTTTTCCTTTAACTCTGTCATTTTAAAATGAACATTTTAAACTGAACAAAGTCATGAATTCATTTGAATTCCCAACACTCAAACTGATTTATATCATAGAAATAACTATTAAATGTAAATTTCTTTTCCCCTAGTAAATGGTTTAGGAAAACAGGTAACATAATAATTCTTTCCTCGAAAATTCAAAGATGAAAACGTTGAAACTATCATTTTATACTTTTTTTCAATTGTTTACTTTTGATTTAGACTACTCATAAGTAAGCTATTTGTCATCGATAAATAAGTAATATCGACCCGGAAACTTTATTCTTATTCATTTCTAGCTTATTTATTATGCTTAGGAAAAATACCAAAAGAATAGCCTAAAAATTGAAAGTTTGGTTAAATGAAATGTTCGTTCTTCCCGACCTTCTGCCTCCAGGCATTTCAATTCCGATTAGTGATACATACTACTAATATCTGTCGACATCAGTAGTACACACCACAATAGATCCATTATTATATATATTTATATGATATAAATATTGTTTATGTGTTACTTTTAAAAGGACCTCAAAATATTTCACTGAACTTAAACCTATTCATAGAGGAAAAAGATGATTCTGAATATTGTAAGTTTAGTCTAATTTATTTCAGGATTCTGTTCAGCTCACCTACTCAGATTATAATAACTCCTTGTTCGTTTGGCATTTAAATCAAACTAAAGAATAAAGTCTATTGGAAGTAATTAATTGAATAAATCACTAATCATGTTAAAACTAATGAAACACTCAGGCAATGATTAAAATATATGAAAGCTGGTAACTATACCAATAAAATTGTTGATATTTTACTTAATACAGAGAAAGGTTATCTACTGGAGTGTTATGAATGCCAAGTCAAGATCATTGATTAGTGTATTCAAAGATGATAAGTAGTCATAAATATATTCAAGTAGAAAACAACTTACCTTGAAGAGGGATGTAAAACTTTACTCTCTCTATAGATATCCTTCTGAAGTTATTTATTTTACATTTTCATATTGACAAACATTTACATTATTAGTCTTAGTTATTAAATTATTATTTTCAACTGCTGAATTTTGTCTTTGTTGATTACGACCTTTAGCTCGACGATTTTTAAACCATACTTGTACACGTGATTCAGGTAAACGTAATTTTAAAGCTAATTCTTCACGAATATAAACGTCAGGATAACGTGTTTTAGCATATAATTCTTCTAACATTAATAATTGATGTCTTGTAAAAGTTGTACGTTCACGTCGTTGTCGACGTACTGGATTACCTTGAATAAAAATAGAAATAAGATGTGTGTTTTTTAATTCAAATAAAATTCCAGAAGGAAAACTATGTGAATGACGATTACCCAAACTAATTGTATACTCTTAAAGAGAATGTTGATGAATGAATGAAATTTGAAATGATAGTAAATATATATACAATTCAGGTAAATGCTTTTAGTTGTGATTTGTTTTTTTCTAAGCTAAGTGGTTTAATTGTAAAGCATTTATTGCTGTTCTGAACAAGATGATCAAAGCCTATTTCATGTAGAATTAGACTGTTTAATTATTCCACAAGCACGAAACTGGACTGTTCTGTTGACCATGTCTATAACTCAGCTTCACTTGAATATACCTTTTCATTGCATAATAAGAGTTGTTAAAATCAAAGATCATTGAAGAACTGTGACTCACTACATCATATGGGATAAAAATCTTATGATGAGTATAATACATACAGACAACTAAATCAAAATTCAGTGGTCTACAGTTTTAATTTCTATGGACTAATAATATGGTAAAATCTTTATTCACTGTTATAGGCAGGTTACTCTTCAACTTTGGAAAATAGATTGAATTCATAGATTACGCCTTTCTATTAGAACTACCGTAAATTCATCCCGACACCATCTATTATTATGCATATAATTAATACTGATTCGAGTAATTCTATGATAATTGTGACTATAATGCTTTTTACAGCATAAATCAAGGTTTATTTGATAACTATTTCATTCTGGGTAAGAACTTCAGATATGTGTTATTTAGCCCCTCGTCCCTTAAAGAACTTCTAACGTATGCAAGATTTCATGGTGCTAATTAGGATATGAATAATCAATGAAGTTTGCTTTTCTTAAGCGAAAAATGTTTTTAATAAAGAGACATTCATATGGCATCAGTTTACCTGTGGCCTGGCATTAATGATGGTATCGAGCAGAGTAGATGGTAATTAGATTAATACAAGTAATTCATCATGGATATATTAAATTAAGCAATGATATATATAAACTAAGAACAATCTTTATGCTCATCAAACCAAAATACGTTATTATTTCATGAATCAATAAATATAAGCCAAATAAGAGATTCTAGGCATCTTAACCATAAAACAGACTTTGTTGTTAAGGTGATATTAGGTAATATTACTCAAAGTTTGTCATATAAGTAGTAAACTTGTTGGTACACAATAGTGGACTGTACTCTGGTATTCTATTCATAAATGTATACTTTAATTAAAAATAAATTTCCCTTCATAGTTACATTATAGCATTAAATAAACTTACTGAATTTCATTTGGATTTACATTCCACTTTTCTAACTTAAAAACGTTTTACAAAGACATTCAACGTTATTGAATGGCTTTGTTTATCTTATAGTTAATCTAAAAGATATGCCATTTTACAAAATTTTCGAACTAATAATCATTAATATACAAGATCTATAGTTCACATCAGACGACAGCATGTAAGTAACCTTTAGTTCTACACAGTAATCATAATTAACATACGTCGTATTTGTGGGAAAGATAATTTACAAAATGTATTTAAATACATAATTACAAAATGAGCACATTTTAGGTAAATTAATTTTAATGTTAGTTGAGTTTTTTATTCATACATATTGATTGACCAAAGAACGAGTATACTTAGTAGCAGTTCATGCTATTCTACTTGATGAGTCCGCAAATGTGTCATTTAAAAATAGAAGATATTCGTAGGTTACTAGTGTTTGAGCATAGATGTCTTTGGACGTTTCGATCACATATGCTGAAACCACCAAGTGACCAATGTTGAGCTTAGAAATAAGTTACTGGCTAAAGTAAGTTAATCGGTTGATGAAGTAATGAATTTCCATTGACTGAAATGTCTGAGACGTGGATTACATATGCTCAACCACCACTTGTCGCGATGCGTGATATTAGTGGATGTAAGAGTAAATCGGGAGATATTTATGGGAAGAGAAAACTAATAAGTGACATTAGTCCATGAAATCATTGATTATTGTTCTGAGGTGTTTTGATAGTTGTTGACTAACTAATTTGAGTCTATACGATTGTCGTGACCAATGGTTGAAGATGTTAGTTATCTTTTTCAGGTATTGGTCGAAGTTTTCTATATTCATTCACTCTACTATTTATTTCCATAAGGTTTGTGAATAAACGTAGATAATTAAGTTAAAAAATTTTCAGAATAATACGCATACAGATAATTAGATCTTAGACATTGCTGTTATATTTATCCAGCAATGTACATAAAAACAAATCTAATTTTGTTATTATCAGAATGTGTTTTGTGGAGATTTTTAGGAATTTTCATAGATTGAAATCATGAGTCAGTTGAAGCTAGACCACCATTGAAAACCTGGAAGCACTGGACAACAGTCAAAAGCTTTACTTTACGATGACGTGTGTAAATTAAACAGATCAATGATCACCTTTAAATATGTACATTTAACTATGAGTCATGTCTGGGTTAGATTACTTCTACTGACTGGTAAATCTTGTTCCATGTAGCGTGATTTCTATATGATCAATATGGGACTCAATTCGAACGTTTTAATCAGTGTAAAATCACGTATTTACTTACACCTGTTACACCTCGTGAAGATACATAGGCCGCCCACCAGTACTCTCCATCCAACTGTGTCCTGGGCAATCCTTTTCAGTTTTTTCCAGTTGCTATTCATCATATTCATGTCTACTTTCAATTCCCGACGCAGTGTATTCGTTGGCCCTCTTCTTTTCCTTTTCCCTTCAGGATTCCAATTTAGAACTTGTCTCATGATGCAGTTTGGTAATTTCCGAAATGTATCTCCTATCCACCTTTAATGTCATTTATTAATTTTCTCTCCTTTCAGAAGCTGGTTTGTTCTTTCCCACAGTAGATTGCTTTTGATGGTTTCTGGACAACCGACATTCAGTAACTTGCTTAGAAAATTGTTCATAATTACTTGTACGTTTTTGGTGATAGTTGTAGTAGTTCTCCAATTTTCAACCCCGTGCAATAGGACTGTCTTGGTATTCGTATTGACTTTGTTGTTGGTTGAGTTGTTTTCGGTCCTTTAAGAATGCCACCCTTGCTTTGTCAGTTCGTACCTTCAATTTTGCATCAGATCTTTTTTATTCATCGATGATGCTGACCAGGTACGTGAAAGTTTTCATCTTTTTAGAGCTTTTCCATTAAGTGTAATTTGGTTGGTGTTCTTCGTGTTGTATTTGAGGATCTTGCTTTTTCCCTTGAGTACGCTGAGGCCTATTGATGCAGAGGATGCTGCTACACTATTCGTTTTCATTTGCATTTGTTAGTGTGTATGGGGTAGAAGACCTAGGTCATCTGTAAAGTTAAAATTGTCTAGTTGCATACAAGCTGTCCATTGTAGTCCGTGCTTCACCTCAGATGTCGAAGTTATAATAATCCAGTCAACCACCAGAAGGAAAATAAATGGCGAGAATAAACAGACTTGTTTGAAGCCGGTCTTTACTTGGAATGCGCCTGTCAGCTGTCTTCCATGCACGAATTTGCGGTGACGTCCGTCAAATGAATTCCATTTGATGTTGAGGATTTTCCCAGGTGCACCATAGTGTCAAGGAAGTTTCCATAAGATTCTTCTAACCACACTGTCTAACGCTTTCTCATAGTCAGGGAAGTCAATGTATAATGACGAATTCCATTGAAGTGATTGCTCGACGATGATCCGTATTGTCGCAATTCTGTCTGTGCACGACCGATCATAGCGGAATCCGGTCTGTTGATCTTGAAGCTGGACGTCTACTGAATCTTTCATCCGGTTCAACAACACTGTTGAGAACTTTTCCAGGTACCGATAGCATTGTGATGCCTCTGTAGTTCTTACACTTGTTCAGATCACCATTCTTTAGTGTCTTGATGTGGTATCCTTCTCTGCTCCCAAACCTTGTTGAATAAAACGCGGAGCATATCTGCATTTGCTTCTATATCTGACTCCAGTGCTTCAGTTGGTATGTTGTCAGGTCCTGCTGCTTTCCCAGTGTACAACACACCCACATATTATGAATATAAACAACTATTGACTTTGAATTTTTAGCTTTGTGATTTAAGAATCCGCTTTCAACTAACAGAATTCAGGATCGAACCCCGTCTCATCCAATTACATTTAGACCATAAGGTAATATCACTAGTCCTCATACGCAAAGTGTAATCTAGTACGTAGAACTACACTTAGTAAATGAGCTATATTAGATTTATCACTATAAGCGTAAGGTGTTCATCATTCAAAAACTTCTTTCAACTTTAACAATTCCCTCAATAATAATTCAATATTTTCAAACATTTCAAACACAGTCATTTAGTAATCGGTCATGCCTGAATTCTGATAAATAACCATGTAATTAATAAACAATAAAACACCAAAAGATTTTATATGGATACGTGTAATCGATGAATGGAAATTAAAATTAACATGAGTATTACCTAACTGATAATATCAAAAAATTTTACAATTTTTTTATACCTTGAATTTAACTTATGTATGGAAATAATGTCACACGTAGCATAAATTTACCCTATGGAAACTCGAAAATTATACTTTGAAAGTACAAAAATTTTGAAGATGTTAGATCAGTTACAATTTTTAAAATGAAACGAAATCAGAAAGGGGTTTTGTCGAAATTGTAGTAATTTCAATAGTTGAAATCATGAGTTAATTCAAGCTAAACCACCATAGAAAACCTGGAAGCACTAGACGGCCATTTCGCCCTACTGTAGGACTCCTCAGCAGTGCACATCCACGACCCTGCCTCGCAGGTCCCACAATAGGACGAAATGACCGTCCAGTGCTTCCAGGTTTTCTATGGTGTCTTAGCTTCAATTGACTCATGATTTCAATTATTAAAATGAAATCTATTATTGTTATTACCATTATTATTATTATTATTATTATTATTATTACTAGTAGTTGCTTTATTCAACATTGTATTATTGGTACAATATAGAATTCTCAGCACAAGGTATTTGGACGAATTTCTTTTACAAAAAAAAGAAAAAAAAGGCGAAGAAACTGATAACTGCAAACATATATATATATATATATATATATATATATATATATATATATATATATAACAGACTAACTTTGGTTAGACCACCATTGATAACTAAATAGTACTAAATAGCTGTCACTATCTAATATGGAACTCCTTAACTGTGTATGCTCATGATCCTACTAGGGACCCAACTTTAGTACATTAAAGCTTCACTGTCTACGCTTGAAATTCAGAATGGTGAGTTTGGCATCTAGCTGTTCATTGTTATAACGTTAGTCAATTTCACAATGTTGTCCGTCAACAATCTCTACGGCATTTTACAATATTTTTTTATTTGATCAGATTGTATTAATATTTACTGTGAAGTTGGTTTCCCTCAATTTCTCAAAACGTTTAAGTTCCATTAAAAGTAGAGTTCCAATGATTTACAATTGAAATTATAGCCACTTCATGATATATCAATATGAACACCTAATATCAGTACTGATATTTGTCTCACCATCAACATAGTTGAAACCGATCAATTACTACTTCTCAAAATTAACTCGAGGGTTCATCACATTGTTAGACTCCGACCATGTTCAGTTAATTTTCCATGTTTGTCAAGCAACTTGAAATTTATAATTACAATCTCATCTGGACTGTTATTTAGGCAGTATTTATGAGTTTCAAAGTGAGAACACAACTGTTCAATAGGTTATATAACTAATATCCATCCATAATCAAAATTCAGCTCGAAATATATATATACATATTAGACTATCATTGCAAATTAAATGAGCATTTAGCTGTTCATCTCGATTAGGAATTCATTAAAAATATAATATAGTCAATCATATAAGTCATCAATACAATTATGTCCATAATGATAACGAAATAATCATGCTATAAATTGTTAGATTGAAAATAGGCAGTAAAATCTTCCGTTTTGTTCGACATGGGACTCGTCAGCTAGATGCACTTAAATCCCAGAGTGAACAAAACGCGATTCCTAGATTCCACTGTTAGCCACTATCTTGTATTATATTGTCGGTTGGCAAGCATACCGTAGTTGACTTAAGGGCGCAGTTTATCCTATAATACCAAACCTAATAAGCGAAAGGAAGTTAAAACTTCCGGTGTCGTGGTTATGCATATGTAAAGAAATGTGGAATGTTTCCAAAATGTGGCAATCGCAAACGTAAACTTTTCGATACTAAGCCTTCCAGACCCCGTGGAAAAACTCAATGAGTCTAAGATTGAAGACTGTTAACAGGTCATATAGTGGTTCACACTGTCATACTTGTGTCCTTTAATAGGATTATTCGTGCTTTCATAATGGAAGACCAGATAAACCGTATGGGATTTTCGAAATTGTACATATACTGATTCACCCTCTTAGTTTAACATTAATATTACCATAATGTAAATGAGATCATATTAATTGCTTGTCGTTACAAATTCACCATTTTCCTACTTTTACAATATGATGAATAATGATTATTCATAAATTCACATTTAATCTTAGAAATCACTACTAATTTTCCAAGTTTAATCGACTATATCAATTATCAAGTCGTTTCATTTAATTACACATTATATAGGTATATAGGTGCCATGGTTTAGAAATAAAATAAAGACATGGAGATATCTAGGGTCTATCAGTCTAACATAGTTCAAATGTGTGTTATTAACTTTCATCATGTATTACATAATCAATTTGATATCGATATCACCTTTCAATGTGATTTAACTTTATGCAAACACTGACATAATAAAATTAATAGTTGAAAATAGATAGTGATCACATTAAATCTATTCCCCTGGGTGTAATTATAGTGAATAGAATAATTTCACTAAATCAGTTTAATAAGAAAATATTTTATTATAATTATATAGATTTGATGTGTTAGGTGTGAATGTCTAGTAAGAATGATGTAACATGTGTGTTAGAGAGCAGGTGAATGAATCTTTATTAATCTCTGAGTTTATCATAATTTTCAAACGATCCACTTTGAACCATTTGAGAAAACCCATATGTTATCAATTTAGTGAAAAAAACATTTTGAAAAACCAGGTCGAAATAAAGTTAATGAAAAGTCTACGGTTTGTGTAGATTGTATAAATTCAAGTAAGTTCACCTCATATACTGGTATAAGCTGACATTTAAACTATGATGGATAATGGCTAGCAGTGGAATCCAGGACGCGCGTTTCATCCTATTTGGGACTCGTCAGCCGGATGTACCTGTATCGCAGAGTTGATGTTCACTTTGGGACTCGAACCCAGTACTATTCGCTTCAAACGCCATCTCGTTATGCACTCAGCTACTGAGTCCTGATAGCCACTTGCTTGTGCAATGGGGTGAATATAAATTCACTTGGTATTGTTTGGCTTGTATCTTCCCATTGAGGTTTAAGACTGCAATTGATCAGTCTGTTATTGGCATATGTGCATACTGTGCGTATGCCTCGATGGGAAGATACAAGCTAAACAATACCAAGTGAATTTGACATTTAAACTATTTAAAACAAAAAAATGTACTAGATACTCGTTTCATTCTATTTTAGGATTCGTCAAGAGAGAAAACCCATCATTTACATAATGATTAGACCATTTACCATTTATGTATTGTGATGAGTATAATGTGTTTGGACGATTGATTCAGGATTTATTGATCTATGATTTCAGTTTAACTCAATGACAAAGCAGTACAGATAATTATTAAACATCATACATCTCTTAATATTAATCACATAATAAAGCTTTATTACGTAATCTAAACACATATTTTTAATCATACAACATTTTGATGATTATTTGATATCACTAAGAGAATTTGTGGAGATTGTAATATTGTTAACAGTTGAATTGACGAGTCGATCTAAGCTAGGTCAGGTCCTCAATGGTAGATTGAGAAAAAAAACATTTGTCAAGAAGTTCTTGATTTTCATCAGTTCTTCATTTGATATCATTTCGTGATAAAAAATGCTTTGAATGAATTTCCATAACTCTTTTATATTATTAATAGTTATTAGACTTAAACATAATATTGCCAAACTGTCATTCTCTATGATCTACTATACACATTTTTAATTTCTGATATGGCTGAACTCTGGGGGTTTCCCTTGAAATTCGTCGTTGATAAATATATTAACATAATTATGAGCATTATAATAATGAATTCTGTAATTCAATTATTGTTTTCCCAATACATATCTAGTCAACTTGTTAGCATAAATGAGGGAAACACACATATCCAACTCTCTCTCTAATCAGTAATAATACTCAAATTAGTGTAGATTAACAATGAAAACTTTATTTACAGTGAACAGAAATATTCGGACATAACAAGAAAAAAACCCAACATGTAATTGTGTAACTTACCTGTGGACATATTTAAATCATTCGGTGTTGAGCCAGCAGCAGCCGCTACAACAGCGGCAGCCATCAAGAAATTATTTGATTGTTCTAATAAATTGTATGGATTTGTTTGACGATTAAATTGTTCATTCATAGTATGTTTATTTCCAGAATTATCATTATGATTACTATTACTAATACTATTGTTATTAGTAGTGGTTGATGTATTCGTGTTAGATGTGGTATTATTAATACTGTTACAATTATGTCTATGATTATTACAATGAATTCTACTTAAATTCATTTCTTGTAGAAGTGTCATTGGATCATATGAATTCATATGTGTATTACTTGATGAATATTTATACGGTATAGTTGTATTTGAATTATTTGAACATACTTCTGACGATGATGATGATGTCAATGTTGGTGATATAGACGTATTATACTTATCATTTATTTCATTATTAAATGAATGATAATTCATTGTATTCGCAAATAGATTTGTATATTCTGAATTAAAATCAGATAACAAAGATTGATAATGATGATGATGATGATTATGATGACGAGAAGGTTGATTCAATGTAGAATGAACTTGAATATGAGAATGAGAAAGATGATGATTATGATTATGATCATGACAGTTTAAATAATGTGTATCATGTTGATCAGTATCAGTAGATTGATCAGGAACTTCTACAGATAACTGATTCGATTGTGATGCATTTGTCAATGTTATACTACTTAATAAATCTCTAGAATCATTTTGGTTACTATTATTAACTTTATCGAAATAAGTATTTGAAAAATTAATTGATGTGGTAGTATTTACATCAAATGGATAATTTGATAGTTGTGAATAGTTATTACTATAGCCAGAATATGGATTATTATCAGAATTAGTATATAATTCATGATTGTATTTATCAAAGAGATCACAATTAACATTACTATTACTATTATTATTACTAGTACTATTACTATTATTACTAACAGATATATTAGTAATATTGTTAGTAGTACTGGTAGAATAATTCAACTTATTCATCTGAATTATACTAGATTCATGATTTTTTAAATCATCTGAAAAATAACTATTATTATTATTATTATTATTATTATTATTATTATTTCGATAATGAGCATATTCATTATTATTATAATCAGACATTAAAAATGGTGACAATTTCATATGTTGTGGATAATATTCATGATAGAGATGATGATAATGAGGAGGAGAAGGTAGAGGAGGATGAGGATAATGAGGATGTCCATTTAAATATGGTAGAAAGTTTAAATCATTAGAATAATTTTGTGAAAATGGAATATTTTCATTAAAATATGTTAAATGTTCATTGTTCATTATCATTTCTTCATTTTGTTTCATAGTTAATTGTTGTGGATGAATTGAATTAAGATCAGTTGTGACATTAAGATGATTCTGTGTAGACTTTAACATACTTTCATATTCTGAATTATTACTATTACTATTATCATCATAACTATTATTCCATATTGTCGTATTGTTTTGTTTTAATCTACTATAATTTGAATTGATTGTTGGATATATATTAGTTGTTAATGATAATGCAATTTGATATTTTGGTTTCGGTGAATTATTATTGTTATTATCATTACTATTATTAGTATGTAAATTATATTTATTTTCAGAATAATTTTCATATAGTTGCTTTGATTGGTTAAGTTGATTGTTCGACTCCATTGGATCATTATTATTGTGATCATGATCTAAATGATTATCACAATCATTATGAACATCTTTTATTTCTAGTTTTATCTTATTATTATCATTAATATTATTATTATTATTATTGATGGAAGAGATCGACAAATCTGGATTTGACCATGTTATTTGAGGATAGTGATCCGAGCTTATGATTGGTATTGTTTTGTCTTGATTTAAATTATACACAGAGTTGTCTGGTTCTTGTTTTAATAATATTGATGACGTTGTTTCTACTAGTGTTGATGTGACAGAAGTTGTCACTGATGATGTTGATGAAACGGATACAGAAGATAAAGTTTGCAATGTTGGTGAATTAATTTCAAATTCTTTTTTCATTAAATTTGTTTTAAATTTATTTTTATATTCAGTGAATTCATTCGTTGATGAATTAAATAATTTTGAATAATGATATTTATGATGACTAGGATCAGTGCTTCGATGTATTAACTGATCCAGTTTCTCTATACTAATATTACTAAGAGAACGATTTATATTAGGAGTATTTGTCACATTTGTACTATTTGAGCAAATAGTTTTTCTTATGTTTTCCATAGATTTATCAATACACGATAATTGAGATTCATCTGAAGTACTATTCCAATGTAAATTACTTGAAGTGAAGTTAACTGATTTTGAATCATCTAATGAACTTTTCTCTAGAAGCTTTAAATGTTGAAAAGAAAACACAAACACACATAAACAATAAACAGAAGAGATAGAATAGAACGGTATTTTTTAAAAAACAATTTTTTCTTATAATTTTTACAACCTCAATGAGATTTAAACTTAAACACTACGTTCAAACTGTAAGTTCTTGTTTTTGAATGTTGACTAAGATATCTTGGTGAAAGTACAGAGAACAACTATTCGTGAAATTACAGAAGTTCGAGACTTACCATACACAGGGTGACTTGAGAAATAAGAACTCTTTAATCTATCTTACTGCAATCTAACAATTTGATATATCAATCCAGGAATAAATATGGAAATAAGGACTAATAAAATACAATGCTAAATATTAACAAGATGATAGTAAAAACCTTTACAAAATGTAATCAATTGAAATAAGAGTACTGGTATGATAGGATTGAAGCAATCAGACTAAGTCAGTATGGAATATCAATCAGTATGGTGCCATAAGCATCTGTTCACTTAGTAACTGAATTTATAAATTGATGTAAATACTACTCATTGCTAATTAACAAATTCTGACTATAAATAAATCATATAAGAAATGGTGTATTCATTTATATTATTTTGATTTATTTGTAGGTCAAATAGATCCATTTCACCAGTCTTATGTTTTCAGTATCAAGCACAAGTTATTTGAGCACTTCTCCAATACGCAACAATCACAGACGTAATATGAATATATTTTTTCTATATATTCCTTTCTGAAAATCGATTGTATTTTATTACGCTTTTAAAATAACTAAATAACTACTCAAACTTAAACAAAACTTACTTGATTCTCATGATGCTGTTGATGATGAAATTGTTGATAGCCACCTAATTGATGATAATCCTCATTATTTGGTGAGTAGTTAATCAGACTTGAATAATTCACTAAATGTAATGGAGTAGAACTATGTGAATTGATTAACTCATTGCTATTGTATTGACAGTTCATTGTATTTATATATAAATTTTGTATATCATTAGATGATTCCACTAGATCATAGTTACTATTATTATTATTGTCATTATTACCAGTTACTGTGGTAATAGATGTAATAGAAGTAGGCGTAGTAGCAGAATGGATTTCGAATGAAGTGGATGAAAGTAACATTGGAATTTGAACAGAAGGCAGTTCATCTGTTGAATTTGATGCTGTCACTATTCCTGATCTCGATGATGAAGATGATAATGACGATGATGATGATACCGAAGACGAGGAAGAGAAGGAGGAAGATGTAACAGATGATGACAATAAGCTGGATTCTGAACAAAAATTGGAATTTCTAGTATTTTTTAAGTCAAGTACATCATTTCTTGAAAATGTTGATGTTTCACGTGAATTTGTTAAATCCGTTGATGCATTGATGATAGAAGGATTCTGGTTATTTTGATCGGAATATGATAGGTTCGGCGTTTTAAAAACAGAATAATTATGTGCATAAAAATGATGTGATATAGACGGATTATTTATAGCACTTGGTGATAACGAGCTTTTAGGCGATAAGGATTCAATTTTATTCATAAATAAGGGATTCATTAGCTGGTGTTGAGTATTCGAGGCATAGATTGAAACTGGATTGTCCATTGTGAGCATAAACAAAGTCTGAATGTCAATAATAATAATAATAATAATAATAATAATAATAATAATAATAATAATAATGGTTGCATTTGACAAAGTATATTCTTTTATGATAAGACATTTTGAGGTTAAAATATACCATATTGTGCCAAGTTCTATTAGGTATAATTGATACGTGGCCAGGAGTCGGATACAAAAAGCGTATTCTATCCCATTTACAACTCGTCGGACTATTGCACGTGAATTTCAACTTTAATGTCCACACTAACACTGGAACCCAGAATTTAAATCTACAAAGGGTCACTCTGTTATACATTTAGCTTGTAAATATCCAAAAAATATCAAACTGTATATTATAATTTTAAATTGGAATTTTCTTATAACTACAAAAGTTTGTGACTAGTTTTACATCTAAAATGATCATGAAAAATAATTACTACAATCTACACAAATTCCCATTCTGGTAATAATCATTTGTTCACTAGTGACTAGCATCAAGATGTAAGTCCTGGAGTTCTTGTGAGAAAGTGTAACCAATAGAGTCCAATCCGAGTCGATTAGAGACAGTTAACCACTTCAGTCAATCGATGAATGGTTGCGTGGGACCATGAATTGATAGAAATTAGACATTAGCACCGTTGGATTTCGTTTCAGTTGTTCAGAGGTAAAACATTCACACATGAGACCAAAGGTTAGGGGTTTGATTCCTATGTGTGGAATAGTGGATGTTCACTACTGAGAAGTCGTATACTAGGATGAAACGGTGTTCCAGTGATTCAAGGTTTCGAATGGTGATGTAGATTAAATCGACTCATGAATTCAACTATTAAAATAAACAGAAGTCATTTTCATCTTTTACATGTTTAACGATAAAAACACTGATGATTATGTAATTCCTAATTCAATTCAATATATCTAACGTAACCAACGGATTGATATGATCTGTTTGTCAGTTTTCCTACTCATGAATTAAACTATTAAATTTCTATAATCTCCACAATTCCCCATTCGGATGAAAAATTTGAAATTGAATCAAACCTCTTTTCTTTAATGAAAATTATTTACAATATTTACTAAGAATAAAGACATTTGTCTCAAGTGAATGAATTGAGAAAGGATTCGAATATCTATTGTTCAGAATACATAAAATAAATAAAATAAAATAATATGGACTGATCGAATTATAGAAATACTTTTGCAGTTCTATTCTGTTTGTAATTAGGGTATGTTGTAGAATGAATTTGATGTACTCATTAAAAAAAGTGATACATAAATATAAATACAAATATATTTTAATATTTGAGATCATGGGTCATTTGAAGCTAGACAACCATGCAAAACCTGGATAAAGTGGAAGGCCGTTTCCCAGAATGGGACTCCTGAATAGTGAGCATACACGATCCCGCCTAGCGAAATTTGGTCTCACGCTCAAACGCTTAAATTGAACGACACATTCACCATTGTTTTCATTGAATTACTATCTCACAATAGACCCTGTTGAACTCCACAGGTCACCGTCTAGTGCTTCCAGGTTTTCCACGGTGGTCTAGCTTCAATTGACTCATGATCTTAAGTCTTAAAATTACTATAATATCCACAAAAAGCCCTTCTGATACAAATATATTTGTCAATTGTGATGTAATCTACTTTGATAGAATAGTTTAAAGAAGGTAAGATGTATTTTTGAATCTCAACTTCTTGTGATTGAGTTTTGAATAACAATATTATCTTAGTTCTGGAATTGATAAATCTTTGAGTTCTGATATTGAACGCCCTTCTATCTATTTTGTGGGACAGTGATTTAATGTTTAAAACACTCTACTTGAAGCTACTAAATTTCAAGTTACAAATCTACTTCACGTACTCTAGTGTGAAGTACCTGGGTATTATCATTACTTCGCACATTTTGAATTCGACTGATAGCAAAGATATCTAATGTATGGATTAACAGAAACATAATAATGATCTATTGACTTAATCTTGATTTATACGATCATATTCTTAACAATCTAATATATACACATAAAAGATGCTTTAAAAATCGAATATATTGTCTTATACTTTATAAATAATTTGTATTTACACTAAAGCATCAATGAATATACATATGTGAATATTTATAAAATTTAATTAAATATCATTCAATCATCAAAGAATACTTCAAGAATTCCTATCACTAGGTATTATATAACTCTTTCAGTTTATTCTTGATAATATTACATTTGAAGTGTATATTGTTTAAAATCATTATTTCGTTAAATTTTAATCGGCGCGAACTTCAAATATTAATCTGAAGATAATATTTTTTAATAATGGAAATGTAAAAAAAACTGAAAAACTTTTGTCTCCTCTTTTAAATTATTATTATTACTATCATTACCATTACTATTATGGCTAATACTACTACTATTATTGTTACTAATATCATTATTACTAACACTATTGTTATTATTAGTTATTAAATTATCATACTGTGTTAATGAGAGAATTTACTGAATCTTCAATAAATTGACATTTGAATATTAAGGAGAGGATAAATAAGTCAAGGACAATTGAGTAGGATTCTTCATATAATAATAATAATAATAATAATAATAATAATAATAATAATAATAGCCTATTAATATTATGAAAAGTTTAAGGATCTCTTAAATCTCTTAAGTTTTAATTGTCTCAAATATATCTACATTTCTAAAGAGATGATGGTGTGGTAAGAAGAATTGGGTTATATATATATTTTTAAAAATTTCTTCATTCAATTGTATATGGATAATTCATTTCATAAGTGACTTATAAACTTAGTATGAATGTGTCGGTACTCATTTTCTAGATGTTGACAGATTTTTGCATTTGATTTCAAGTCAATGATATCAACTAGTTAATTAAATTGATTTAGGTTGATCGATGATTTGAATTTATTACTTAATAGCTGAAAATTGAGCTCCTTAACCAATCAGTTGCCGCTTCATACAACAACGACGACAACAAAATTAAAAAGACATATAGCAAATAAGTTAAGTTAATAATGAAAGGATAACAACAGTGGATATAGTTTCTAAAGAATAAATGAAATAAGGAAAATAAATTTTTAAGCAAAGTTGGACGGTTGGTAGCAGTGAATTCCATGTTTTGTTCTATTTAAGTCTCATCAATTGTATTCACCTGCATCCTAATATTGATGTTCACTGCGTGACTTGAATATGAAGCTTATTACGTTAAACAAACCCAACGTATCCTTCGTCTAACTACTGAATTAAATTAGTCAGTGGCTTGAGTAGCAGGGTTGAATTATAATTCAATTACAAAGGTTTGAATATTGTTAAGTAGTGGCTAGTAGTGGGCGAAAGGTGTATTCTGAATTACAATGCCAACCACTACTCAAATATCTAAAACTCCTTTTAATTAATGACTATATCAAGTCAATCCGCCGAAAGATCTTAACCTTAAAGACTGAAAAATAAAATAAAAAAGTCTATAAGTCAGTATTAGGAGGACAAACTATAAATATAATCAATTCATTAAAATTGCTGAGGTCGATTTTGAAAATTTGTATATAACTTGTTTAATCATTGAAAAGGATTGCCATAAGAATTTCAACTACATATTCAGAAAGTTTCTATGTGATTCAAGTCATTAATCAACATTTATATGTGCGAATTATTATCTTGCTTTGATCTGACACGACTCTATTATCAATTCAACCAAATTTTATAATGAACAATTGTGTGTGTTTAGGTTTGAGGTGGCCATAAATGCATAATATACAAATGAGTTTCCAAATCTTCATGAATGGTATCATACAAATCACTACTATTATTGATTTTGTATTGTTTGTTTCAATTTCATTGATGGTTAGGAATATAGTTGATCAGTCTCTCGTTGGCATATATACATTCTAAGAAGATTACCTCGATATTACTTTAATTCACAAACATTATAAACAAATATGGGTGGTGACTAGCAGTGGAAAACAGGACACGCGTAGGAAAACTGATAAACAGATCATATCGATCAGTTGGTTACGTTAGATATATTGAATTGAATTGAATTAGGAATTAGATAATCATCAGTGTTTTTATCGTTAAACATGTAAAAGGTGAAAATGACTTCTGTTTATTTTAATAGTTGAATTCATGAGTCGATTTAATCTACGTTACCATTCGAAACCTTGAATCACTGGAACACCGTTTCATCCTAGTATACGACTTCTCAGTAGTGAACATCCACTATTTCACACATAGTAATCAAATCCCCAACCTTTGGTCTCATGTGTGAATGTTTAACCTCTAAACCACTGAAACGAAATTCAACGATGTTAATGTCTAACTTCAATCGATTCATCATTTTACTCAACCTTCCATTCATTGTTTGAGGGGGACAGCTTTCTCTATCCGACACAGATTGAACTTCCAGGTCTTCAAGTGGTCTAGTTAACATCAACTCGTTAATTCAACAACTGAAGCCACTACAATCTCCACAATCCTGAATTCTATTTATTCGTTAAAGATAAGAGCCATTATATGTTAACTCGACAAACAGTTAACGTTCTTATGCTCCATGTTTTGTAAAATAATAAGTAGTCACTTCTGAACAGTCTCTACCTATCTTGTGCTCCTTAACTGTTAATGACTTCTTAGTTAATATTAGATTTTATGTTAGAAATTAATTTTTAAATCAGAAAAATAAGTTTATATTCAAGCATACTGTCAGGTCAGATTTATAGACTGACTTCAATTCAACACTCACAAAAAAACCAAGAATTACTGAATAGATTTTTCACTATAGTATGAAGTTTCTCATCAGTTGATATCCATAACCCTAATAGGGATTGAATTCATGAGTTTTAGACTTGAAGTGTAAAATTAGCCATTAGAGATACTGAGTTCCAATATAGAACCTAATAATAATGGTGATAATTGTAACATATACAATCTACAGATATTGAGCTAATCTTTACCAAATACTTTTAACTGCAGTATTCATATTAGTCAAGTCAACAACAA